CGGGAAACTTTTTGTGTCATTACGCTACCTTAAGCGTGTGTACCTCTACGTGTATGCACACGTTTGTTTATAATTCAGGACAAATGATTAGAACTAATTAGAACTATACATATTTATTACATCTATACAAAGTTTCAAAAAAGGAGAAAGTTTGCTACCTTTTGAATTTGAACGAAAATTATACATTTGCTTATTAAATAATTTTACTGTAATTTTTGAAAATTGTTCTTATCGAATTTTATAAATTTCCATTTTATTTTCTAGGAATAGCCCTAAAGGGTATTGTATTAATGGCGCAAGATGTAAACAATATGCAATCCGATAAGCGCAAAGATTCAGTGGCTGTTGTAGCTTCGCATATTTACGATTCATTGAAAACACAACGAAATTTGATACGCAACAATCCAATATCGTTTCTTTTGCGTAGGGTAAGACAATAGTAATAATAATAATAATAATAATACATATCTATATTTACTCTTTAATTAACGTAAAATTTGAGAAAGCGAAATTTTTGCAAGGTAAATTGATATTAAAATTAAAAAAGAATAAGTTTAGTTAATGATAAATGAAGATTTATTTTAATTTTAACAAATGTATTGTTGCTATTTCAAAGTTGAAAAACTGTTAAATAAATTGATTGGTTGAATTTTATTTAATTCATGCAAATATTTTTTTTAGAATGAAATTCAACCAATTAATTTATTTAATTTAAAATTTATAATTTTAATTGAATTTTAGGGAACATATCTAACAATGTTGTATATGTTGGTGAAGTTTATCTATCTTATACAAGCTATTACACAATTTCTCTTATTAAATAACTTCCTTGGTACCGATTATACATTTTGGGGTTTCGAAATTCTTCGTGATTTAGCAAATGGCCGCGAATGGCAGGAATCAGGACATTTCCCGAGGTTTCTCAGTATCAATTATCAAGATTTGATTTTATAAATAAAGTGAAATTTCAAATTTTTCTAAAAATTCTAAGATTTCGAAGCTTTGAAATAAACTTTTAATACTCAATTTCAATCGTCCAAAATTAATCACTGTAATCTTTTTCAAAAATATATTTAGTAACAATCTTTTTACTTTAATTCAGAGTAACAATGTGTGATTTTGATGTTCGAGTACTGGGCAACAAACATAGGCATACTGTTCAATGTGTTCTAATGATTAATATGTTCAATGAAAAAGTTTGTTTTTAATTTAATCATATGAAATTTAATTAAACGAAGGCCAATTAAAATTAACTCAAAAAAGAGTTAACAATAAAATGAATATCAACTCAGTTGTGTCTTTGAAATTTTTCAAATAGTTGTACATAAAGTTTCAAGGATAAAAATTATAATATTAATTATTTATAACCTTTAAGTTATTAATAATTAGTAGCATAAATTATTCCTATTTAGGTGGCTAATCTATCGTATACTAAACCATACCGTAGCATTTGCCGTACACTTTGATATTATTTAACATTGCACTGTGATCAAGTATATAAAACACGAATTTTTATGAAAGTTTTTAGAATTGAAAGATTGGTAAATTATAATTGTAAATGGGAATTATTTATTCACAGGTATATTTGTTCCTATGGTGGTGGATATTGTTAGTGATCTTATCAACAATAGCTTCCATAATATATTGGTACTGTATGTCTTTCATTCAAACCCAACAATATTCGTTTATTGCTCAGTACCTGGGTGTTTATGGACTTTTAGACGGACAAGGTATTCACATTTCATAATTTAACTAGTAAAAGATCAGAGAATCTTTTTTAATTCAAAATTTTCTCCTTTAATTAAAATATTTTTATCTTATACTTTAATATGAATAAATTCTCATCATAAATTATGACAAAATACAAATCAAATTGAAAGTCTAATCAAATTAGCCAAAATAAACTTAATTATTTTACAAATCAATTATCATTCCTAAAAACTGTCATTTTGAATATCACTAAATTCATTGTTTATTCTAATTTTTTTCGAATCTTGCAAAGTTTTAGTAATATTCGATTATGGGATCCGTGAACTAGAAAGAAGTAAATGAGAAGTTATAATAGTGATAAATTTGATAATCAGTTCATATTAAGCAAATAGTTTATTTCATTTTCTACTAATTATCAAATACACTCTTTCTTCCTTTAAAATCCTTCCTTAAAAATTTTATCATTCATCTCCATTTTTTTCGTTGAAAATAAAATAATTTTTGAATAACAATTAAAGCATAACATAATAGGAGCATGAATTCTTTTGTTTCTTATTTCATTATTCTTTTCTGAAATTAAGAAAAAAATGCTTACATTGCTTAAAATGCTTTACTGATAAGTTTTAACGAAATTTTTAAATTGGCTTTTTAATCGTTAAACATTTCAATCTTTCCAGTTATTTCATTTTTAATTTTTAATGAAAAATTAATTCCATTTAATTGTTTGCTATTTTCGATACGATAAAATTATCGTATTTTAAATTTATTATGCTTTTTTCCCGATATATTAATTACATTTAATATAATAAAGAGAATTTTAATTAAATTAAAATACGATAATAAAATGTGCAGTAATTATTGTAATTATAGCGCATAATGTTTTGGAACATTTCGTTAATCGATGTTTACGAAAAGATGGCATTTTCATCTTACGAATTATAGCAGCAAATGCGGGAGATTTAATTACAACAGATATTGTCGCAGCTTTATGGAAAAACTATCTTGATGATGAAAAGAAACGTGCGATCTTGTCAGCATCAGCACCACCGCCACCAGCTTTAACTAACCCTGTAACATCTAAATTAAATGATATTGATGCTGGTGATAGTTTTCATGAAGAATTTTACCATTAATTAATTGGTCGTTTAATTATCTAATTAAATAAGTAATAACGAAAAAAAGGAAAAGAAAAACTGCTAGCATTGGAGACACCCATTATTGAAGATTTCATGTTTTGTTGTGTCGAGTAATTATTCCAGTAGTATGGAATTAAGAGAGAGGATAGTTTCAGAAATTGCAAGGAAATTTAAGCTTTAATCACTTTTAAAATTAAATGAAAGAGTTGATCATTGGGATTATTGAATTATGAAGCGAAGTGAATTTATTTAGTCAATTATAATTTATAAAATATGAAATTGAGATTGATATTAATGATATCAGTCATTTGTTATTTCCTGTAAAGAAAGGACTAAAAGTAAATATGCTCCCTGTTTTTCTGATCTCTTCAATTTATAAGAAGAGCTTTGTGTATTTGCCCAAAGAAACAGATATTGAGCTAATTACTAAATTAAGCGAATTAAAAATGTAGCTGATAAACTAGCGATAATAGAAAGTTCATTGGTACTTTGATGAAGAAAGTAACAGTTACCAAGATACTAATAAATTGAAAATCAATATTGAATAAAGAGTAATGAAATCATCAATGGATAATTCTTGTATTACCTAGATAGAAATAAAAGCCAGAAAAAAGTATTGTTTACTTCCAAGTTTCTCTTATATAAGCAGCAGGGTATTTGGAAGAATATTTGTTCTTCGCTATTTTACCTCCGCAACTTTGTGCTTTATTTCCAATAATCCCTCTGCTATACATATAGATAAATATTTCTATTATGTGCCTATCAATAAGTGATAATGCTTTACTTAAAATCAATCAATTAACAAGATTAGAAATAATTAATTAATCGAAAAGTGTTCAATTGTTATATAACTTGATACTCTAATAAAGAAAGGAAATATTTGTTGAAAGATATACTCCTTTACTTTTTCATTTTTTTATATTTAAAATTTCGCTAATATAATTGATGATGAAGAAAATATCAGATTTGCCTTAGCAGCGATTTTTTGTGTCAAATTTTTGTATTTAATTATTGTTTATTATATTTGGGTAGCTTTATGTTTATCTGTACATCTTTTTCTTTGTTGTTGTTCTGAAAGCTTTTTCCTTTTGTCTTTTTTATATTGATAATTTGAATCTATTTTGCATAATTTCGAAGTTCGAGAGTGAAAATTTTGTTCGTTGTTTTCCCAAACATTGTTCAAGCAAATTCCTCCAGGATAATAATAACAATGAAATATCTTCAGAAGTACCAGTCGGATATTTTTGTAAAACTTCAGCTAGTTTAAAGTAAATAAATTAATTAACATAACCAGCCAGCTAAAGTAAATAAAGTATCAATAACTAGCGGTTAAATATAACGCTTCCATAATCGTCTAGATATTCTTCATTGATTGTAGCTGATCGTCCAGTTAGTACTACATATTTATGTGTTCGAAATGCTAATTTGAAGTGGATAAATTTTATACTTTTTACATATGTGATACTATATTACAATAGATCACAATTCACAAATTTCATTTTAAAATGTTGAATTCAATACACTGGAATCTCAATCACAATAAGTCATCAGCCCGATGAGCTAATAAATTTCAACAAATACAATAAATACCTTGTTAAAATGAGTTAACAATCCAGTCAAAACAACTGACCAAATAACCTCAAATATTAATTTTGAGCAGTAAATCTATAAATCAGAGCAACTAAATTTCACAGAGAATAAACAGGCCATGGAACGCATGAGTTTTAAATAAAATTTAAAAATACATCAAAAACACAATTTCCTTTTCTGAAAAACTTACAATCCTTTTGTCTTCCATCGAACTTGGTTTTATTCATTTCTATCTCAGTCTTGCATGATTACATGTTAATTTTAATTTTCAACTATTCTCTTTTGTCCTTCTTTCTAACCGAAAGGTTAGACACACCATTTCAAAGGCTGTTTAAAATTTTTCTTCTACATAATCTAATTCTAACATAATCTTCTATGAATTTGTGCAGCGGAAAGTATTTATCGAATTGAATCAAGATGACAAGATGAATTTGACCTCGAATGAAATATCAAACTTAGAATGACTATAAAAAGAAAGACAGAAGGAAAACAGGAAGATAACAATATTTCAAACAGAAAGTGAAGGAAATGAATAATTAGAAATCGCGCAAGTTTCATTCGAAATCACCGCTTGTTGCGAGCCCTTCGCCACTTTTTGAAATTCTTTTTCGCTAATGACGTACCATGTACATAACTCTTTTTCATCTTCAAGCGCCGGTAATTTTCATTTTTTCTTCTAATTTTCCTCTTCAAACATTTTTTTTCATCTAGAAACGGCTGTTGTTCTTCTTCGGCATATACATTACTCGGTTTCTGCGAACCATCGTCGGAGCTCTTTTTATTTTCATCTTTATCAACGGGTTCAAATGAACTATTTAAACTGACATTTTCCTGAAAAGAATTAGAATTGAGAATTTGCATTTTCTTGGACACATAAAACCAGAACATCATGCATAAACAACATCAGAAAAAGTATTTGCTTCAAAATTTAGTTAATGAAATCAAAGATACCTTTTCATTTTCATTATCACTAACTGAACCCAACAGATTGCTTAGGCGACGACAAACGATTGGTAGCGATAATAATAACGGTTTTTGTGGCGATAATAGAACCTCATTATATGATGAAGGGTGTTTCCGTGGAGAACGACGCAATATCTGTTCATCAGGTTGCACTGTATGTGAAAAAACAGTTGTAAACAATATAAGCTAGTAAAATGTAATTTCCATTAGCATCTATGCTTTGGAAAAAACCAAAGGAAAACTGGAATTTGAAGAGCAAAAAATGCGAAATATTGTTGTAAGCAACTTGCTTTTCCGATATTAGCAATTTGTATTATAAGCCGTGTTACAAGACAAAAAGCTTTTTACACATTTTACACTTAAATAAAGTGCGATGAATCATATTTCAGGACATAAAGAAGTGCTTTTATTCGCATTTAGAATGAAAAATATAATGTGTAGATTAAAAATTTATCGTTTTCTGCAGGTTGAAAAAGTAAATCATAAGCTAAGTAAATTAATGGATAATAAAAACAATAAACTTACATTGAACAATATCTGCAGAAGGTTCGGTTCCTGGTATTGTAAAACTTGCGGACTGCTGAAAAACGTCTTTTTTGATTAGAATCATTTATAATTGAGTAATTTCATTTGAAAAAAATCACGCAAATGATATTTCAAGTTAATTTTCAAAAAATTACCTCGTCTACATTTCGAGAGATGTCTGATTTGAGCACATTGGTTAGGCTTCGACATGTCGCTGGTTTTAAAGGACAATTAATTTTCGTGGATGTTGGCGGACGAACCAGTGATGAAGGGTGCTTTCGTGGTGACCGCCTTAACAATGGCAAATCGCCTAAAATACAGATATAGACAATATTAGGGCGATTTAAGTCATGATCGCCAAGAATCGGATTAATAAAATTTCGGTAATGTAACTACCAATTTATCAAAATCGAACTGCTTACTTATTTGATGGTTACTTGAGATGGGTTTAATCAAGATTTTGAAGTTATAATTAATTTCAGATTGTCACACAGTGTTCAATGTTCTGGCTTTTACATTTTCAAGGATCCTAGACTTTCTAAATTTATTTATTATATTTATTAAATTTAAATTTAAAATAACTTACTAGTCTGAAATAGTGTTTTGTTTCCTGAAGGAACCATCACATCAATGCGACGTTTCTTTAACATTGGCTGCAAATTTCCATCAGATTTGAAGGTTTCCAATGCATTAAGAATAACGAAAACCTCGTGCATTTATCAAAAACTATTTTATAGTATAAATCAAAATCAAAAAAGTCAAATAAAGTACAGTATCTATTCAAAAACTCGGTATGACTATCAGTAATTGCTTTCCTTTCTTTTACAATCCAACCAACCAAAGTTCCATCTTCTTCTGTCATATATTCCGAATTTCCTTTTCAAAAATCAGGGGTGAGGCTTCACGCGACCCGAATAATGTAATCTTCCCTTCCGTCTTGATGCATGATTAATACATGAGTTCAACTATATTAGATTTAATCTCGGAAAAAGCTATAATCTTGGAGAAAACACAGAAAATCGTTATTGAGTCTAAATTGCCTCGCGATATGGATTAGTTTGATAGATTAACATCTCGCTTACTCATATGACAAGACGTTCAAAATATCGCGAGTTTATTTTTGGGTAGGAACCGCACATGGTTAGTAATATCTCATTTCCAATGTAAATGACGGTGAGTGAACCGGATATTTTACAGGATAGTGCACAAGGAATAAATCATATTACTGGAGTGAAGGAATTCTAAATAAATTTAAACCAAAAATTTAAAATAAATTTAAAACAGCCAGTGTAAGTGGCGGACAAATTACGATACCTCAGGAAGGCAATCCCTTTCATCGAATGACCTCTTGAGTTTCACTTTTGGAATCGGTTTCGAAATCACTTTTTTTGGCGGGTGCAACTTGAAGTATTCTTCTGAAACCCTAGTAGTTTTTCTAAATTGAAAACAAAAACTATTCGAATCCCTTGCTCCTACCCTTAATATTTGATCCTATATCAAAATGTTAGAATATTTCCACTTCTTTTGCGATAGGCATTTAAAAGAGCAACTAAATTTAACAATTTTGACGTTATTAATACTTATTTTATAACAATGAAATTCTAAATTATAAAAAGCTCTCTAATCCATAATTAACCTAAAAATCAATAAATCCTGCAATTTAGAAGGAAAATTTTTGATAGAAAAATTGGAAAACGGTATTTTACAATTGCGACAAGTAATTACCTTTGATATGCGATGGAGCAATCAATTCGATATCTTCTTTGGTTGGTGAATGTTTATTGAGTTGCTCGAAAATTTGCAACCATTGTTGATAACGCTCTCCCATTTTCAAAAACTTCAGCTTATTTCTTCTTCCTTCTAAAAGTAAATTGTGACAATTTTTTTTAAAAGAACTTTTCACAGGTTCTTCAACTACAAATAAAATTTGTTAAAAATAGTTATCGACCGTTGAAATAATACTCTCGATCAATAAAATTCGAGTAAAATAGAAAATTTATAAAATTAGTTAACTGATACACATATGTACAATTTTATTCGCCGGATGAAACCCAATACCTTCCACATATATTTACACTATTCAAGTTCTTCAAAATATATGTTTATACATCTTTGGATTATATTCATGAAGTTTATTACACAATTCCGATTTATTCCTGGAAAAGAAAACATTAGTAAAATGAAATTTAAAAAAAGACTAAAAGTAATGTTAGAATGCCATAATCCTTGCTTTACGAAAGTGTTAGCATAGCATTGATCTTTAAGAATTAAAACTTAAATCTCAAAAGTTTTTAGATTTCAATTAGACTGTTAATTAACGATGAAATTTGCATTAATTGAAGCTTGACAAAAATACAGTGATAATAATAAATTTCGATCCAAATCTAAAAACATCGTGCCATTTCCGTTTGTATTATTTGCGCAAAAATTTTACGAGCCTAAAATATGGAAAGGCGGGAATTTTAATAGTGGCATTAAAAGTAGCTTCCAAAAAAGAAAATAGAAAGGAATATGAGAGAGTGGCAAAGGATAGGAAGAATTGGCTTTGGAAGAGATAAATCCGTCATCGGTGATTCCCAGAAGATTTAGCTTTTGAAGAAATAAAAATTTAACAATTTTTAAATTCAGCGCTAAATTTTTCATGAAAATTTTCTTTCTCTCCTTCCGAAACACTTCATTATTTCATGGCATGCAAACAAAATGCAACTCCGTTTTTTTCCTTTTTTTTTTGTAGAAGTTATGGGAGTATTTGTTAGCAATGGAAATATATAATAAATAATCTTAATTTTTCGAAATTCATATTTTTGTATTGAATTTGAGATTTTCAAACTTCTGATAATGAATTTTATTTTGTGTTGGAAAAGTTGGTTGCTATACACTATTAATTTTGTATTTGTTAGTATGGTTTTGAATGATGCTACAAATAATTATTGAGTGCTCAGAATATTATAGCTTTGTGATGTTGTTTGTTTTTATAGTAGGAATAAATAATATTGCAAATTGCAAGGTGTGATAATTTAAAATTCGAAGTATAAATATAAATTTCAAAAATTTTAGTTCTTTCAGATGAGTGTTATGATTCGTGCTAATGTAAGGAGAGAATGACGTAGTGAGACGCTGTGATGGCTTCATTTTCTGCTGATAATCGCGATATTGTTTGTTACTTGGTGACAAAGCATTCATGGAAGGGGAAGTTAGTTACATGTTTGTGTTTTCTTTCGAAAAATTACGTTTTTTAATAACAAAGAATTAGTATATATGAAGAAAAAAATTAGGATAAATTGAAATGTATATAATTAAGATAAATAGTATTTCCATGCAGTGTTTCATTCGTACTATTTTATATTATTTGCAGATACAAGAGGATATTTTCAATCGGTACGCTGGCTGTCACAACTTATAATCCGTCTACACTTGAAATAACAAATCAGGTTCATAATTTTTTATTGAATTTAGATGATTGAAATATCCAGACACAATGCAAGATTGAAATTGAATGAATTTAAATTATGCGAAAGTAAGGGAGTACTAAAAATATAACTACTTACAGCAAAAGTTTACGTTTATGTACTAAGTTTGCATTTGTGTACTATTAATAGTATTTGTGTAAGTTCACCAGTAATCTAATATTAAAAGAGCTAATTTTTTTTTCATTTTGACTTTTTAGTGGCTGTACGAGGATTTCATAACAATCAAGCCGTTATCACGCTCGCCCCAAGTTCAGGATGAATTTGTCATTCAGATTCGTTCCAAGCGAAAAAATGATACGATGCGCTTCTCATCGGAATATACACAAGAAATTTTATCCGAAGCTCTTATGCGTATGCCCAAATTTTCCGATGCTCAACCTCAAACACAGGCAATTCTTAACGATCATGAGCTTAAATTTCTGAACCAATTAGATTTTATTTTGATTTTTATTTCTAATGCCAATTCAATATGATTTCAAGTATTTTAACTGATTAATCGAAATTTAATTTTGGTTCCATTTCGGATCTACGCACGATGTTATTTCAAACAATGATTTTTTTTAGGATTTCACCGGCTACAAACATGATTGGTCGGATCGCCGCATACCGGTTCAACTCCGAGCAAAAAGTTATTCACTGGAAAGGCTAAATAGTAACGGTGAAGTCATTGCATCGTATGCATATCGGCGTATGAAATCTTTGGCCATAGTGAGTAGCTGTAAAATTTGTCAAATTGGAAGTTGACTGCCTTTTTCTGAGAAAATTCAAATAGTATACATAAACTTTATTCATATTTAATCTCTGTTTATTATTAGAAATGTTTGTTCAGTTATAAACGAATTTTTCTTCTGATAGCAGAAAGATGTTTGAATTGCTTTTTTAGGTGCAAGGATATGAAAATGGATTTATTGTGGAAATGGATGAACAAAGTCGTCGAGTTTGTTTTGTTTTTTTCTCCATTAATCTTCAGCTTAAATTACACACCATTAAATTTGTAACTCCTAACTTTCATAATTCAGTAAAAATGTAATTTTTCAAGTATTGATTTGACTGAAATGTATACCACTTCCTTTTCTTTTCAAAAGCAAAAGGAATTGAATAAATTTTTCTGAAAAGCTGAAACTAAGATGATGTCTTATTCGTCAATTTTAGTACAAAAAATTACATTTTCTTGATGGTATAACATGCTGAAATATAAAATGAACGTGCTTGACAACTCTGGCATATATTCTTCCTCGAACACTCATTGAAAAGGTCGATAACTTTTTTTGATTTTTGCAGCATCTGTTCGTGTGCGAACTGTTCCATGATCTAGTTGCAGTGATACGACAAATGGCTGCAACCTATTTAGGAATTTCAATACCGGTTGTCAAAGAAGGAATCACTTTGGAACACTTTATGCTAACACGTTTGGGTTTGTGTAGGTTAGTTTATGCGATTGCTAAGCAATTTTTGCTTTTATCTTTATAAATAAATGGTCCAAATTACAAAATTTATTGTATCACACTCTACTATTTGATTTCTTCGATATGCATATTTTCTGGTCCAAAAAAATCTCTTTCTGTTCCACTTCTGAGAATTTTAAACTTTGTGGAGGGCGGGGAAGGAAGAGACAGATAGATAGATTTAATTATGGGTATTCATCTTATTTAGGTTACAAAATGCCTTAAAGTAGTATTTTCTTGTTAGATTAATGTTTAAGCAATAATTTTTCAAGTTTATTTTTAGTTTTACAGCTTTTATGAAGATTTTGTAATCTTTCTGGTTGTGAATGGTAGATGAGATGTTCAATTTTCAGCCGTGATGAACAGCTTACTTCATATGTTGAGTTCAAAGTTCAAAAGTTTTCACCGCGACAGTTTTTTTCTGTGAAGCGATTACTATGTTTAAGCAGCACATGCATTATTGAACGAGATCCGGCAACTTATGCAGCAATTTGTGCGCGGTTATTAAAGACGGTTCGTTTAGTTTTCTTAAATTAAAAACGCTAAGTCGTTTTGATTCAAAATATTTGGAGTAATAGAATAGCGTTAATTTAGTACATTGGGAAGTTTCCTTAAAAAGTTGATTTCGTTATTATTTTTACTTTTTATAACCATAATTCATTTTAATTTAAATTAATTTAATCTGTCGGTGTTTATTTTATCTCGTTCCTATTATTAATTTTGTTAATTCGAAATTTTAAAATTTATCCATGAAGAAATGTAGAACGATTTTCAATGTCAGTGAAGGGATAAAGGGATTATGAAGTATGAGCTATGTAACTTTTGAGCTCATCAAACCGGTCGCTCATTTACTGTTGGTACTGTCTTAGTGACCACAACCGAGATTTAACCCATATATGGGAATCTTGAAAAAGGCGCGGATAATCAGGTTCATCAATCTTTCTATTTATTCAATACCCTTGACTTAAAACCGAGTAATTTGGATGTGCTAGACTAACCAAATGGTAGATGTTCACTTTTGAGTGATCTTTGGTGGCGCCAAATATTATGAAAAGCTTCTTACCTAAATCGCTGAGACTTTTTTGTTAAGTCTGTTAACTTTTAATATGTAATTCTCGTTCTTTTGTCCAAAGTCATCTTTTTTATCGTTAAGGTAATTGTGTGACAAAAAATCTCACAATAATAATAGATGCTATTTTATTTGTTCTGGAACATCTTTAAATCCCCATAGTAACTGGACCACTCCTTTATAAAGGTTCTTTGATGAAATCATTGTTTCTTCTTTTTCTTTTTTTGTAAATATTAAATTGTGTTTGTCGTTTAAGCTGCGTATTTAACATGTATATGTGTAACTTATAGAGATGTTGAACTGGGCTTGTCATTTCCAGATTCAATACTCTCTTTAAACTACAAGCGATATCATTAATGGCATTGAAACCTTCTAAATATATTGTTTCATTATATTATAAATTTAAAATTTATTCATGTTCCGTTATTTAGATTGTTTTTGTGGTTCGTGATGAAGGAGATCCACAAAGCTTTACGATTCAGTATGATGAAGGTGACATCCGCTCATACACTTCTCCTGAACGGTATAGTCCTTTTAATTTTATCATTCCAAGCATTCGTATTTCTAGATTTCAATAAATGGTATTAAATGAGTACAAATTTTGAAATGTAACACATGTTATTTGGACTGTTCGATGAATCGTTTTATAATTAGTTTCCAGGATCATGGTAAATTGAAATTTTCATTTTTATTTTAAACTTTCCAGGGATTTAATCCTGACATCACTCATTGATGTATCACGGGCTTCCGGAAATCAGTGTCTATTTATTACTTGTACCAAATATGATCGTGCTTTACGAATGATACCACCCAAATTTTTGTTAGATGAAGATACAGAATCGCAGTGCATGAGACATATTATTTCAGTGCCACGTCTGTTCTCTTTTTTCTTCAATTTCCAACAGACTATAATATCTTTTCCACTTTGGTATAGGCTCTACGAGAAGAGAAGAATTAAAAGAAAAATATGACACATCGAGCTTAATTCTCGTTAAATTTTAAAATAAATTAGTTCTGCTATTTGCAAAATTATGAGTGATGTTTAATAAAATTAATAAGGATTAACGAGGTTAAGCAATTTGAATTTTTAAGTTTTGAAGGAATGGTTCAATTATTTTAAACTTTTTAGCTGGCCTGAAAAGATATGATTTGATTCGTCGCTTCAATGCCAATGTACCATATAATGGACTTACCTATACAGTTTCACAGGAGGTTCGTTTTTTTGGTTACCAGTGAAAAGTGTATGATAGGTTTTTTTTGTTTCTTTCCTTGATTATACTAAGTATTTTACAGGGATTTTTCACCGAAAATAAAGCGAAAACAATTGTTGCTTGCTTAGAATCTGTATTAACGGAAAATTTTGGTAATGAAATTAATAAATGCGAAGCACAGTTACAATGTTTACGTCGCCTGTTTGCATCAAAGAGTGGTTTTCAAGCATTTACCGCAGTGCCGGGGTAAGTCATTGTAGTTGGTTATTTCATTTGCTATACATTATTTTCCTGATTCAGATGAATTTCTCGGTAGAAATTGTAAAGTATTCATTAGGGAAACTCTCAAACATCTGAAATATGAATACAATTTCATTTCGGACTTTCATTCACTTCAGAATGAAATGGGACGGGAGAGAGAAGAGCTTCAAGTTGAGGTTGTTTGACGAAGCAATTACCATTAGAGTAGAAAATATGCAAAAAAGTTTTGCGCTTGTATTTTTTTTGTTGACCGTGTTGAATGAATTTTCGACGTGAACTTTAATCAGGAAATTATCATAGTAACTTAGAACTAAAGCATTTCTAACTTTCAGACTGAAAGAAAGTATGATATTAGTACTAACAAGAACTAATCCAAGGTGGTTACTTATTTTACGTTTCAGGCAAAGTTTTGCGCTTGTTTCGGGCAAGCATTTTATTAGCTCCACCTCATTTTTCAATTTTTTTGCAGAGTACGTGAAAAATTGGGTGATTTAGTAGTCCGCATGCTAAATATATCTAATGAATGTATTGACTATGCAACCGTTGAGATGCTTTGTTCACTGATGCAACCGATGCATTCGAATTACGAATTGAAGCTAGAGCAACTCAATAAGCAATCTCTACTTGCAAGCTCACAATTCGTGGAGCATTTATTGGATTTGGTTGTCAAACATACGGTGAAGAAATTCTATAGATCTCGATTTTTTTTTTTGAAAACTTTCTGGAAAAATTTTTGCTTTTTACTTGCAAGCTCACAATTCGAAGAAAGTGCGCGAGAAAATGGAGCACTATTAGTTGTCTCAATACCGAGATTACAGATTCCTGAAAGAGCACTACCAATTTTGGATATGAAGTCTATAATTCGGTAACATAGTAATCTTACTGACATACACTTAGATCGTTTTTTGATTATCGCTCTATTGCATAAGCGAGGAAATGGAACACTTGTAAATCAAAGCTAAACTGGTACCCACACGTCGTTTTCAAAATGGGTAGTGCTATAACATATTTTGCGATATTCGCAGTTTACTAAATGGGAAGGTTCTGCAACAAATACATGCAGTAAAACAATTACTTCACTAAATGACCGAAATGTTGGTAAATTTGGAGCTAAAGCATTGCTACGTCATAGCATTTCAATAGTTTTTGAAATTTTTTCAATTCAAGCTGAGTAAGTTTTCAGAGTTTGGAATTTAAACTTATTAATAAGATGGCCTTATATTTTGTGGAATTTCAATAGTTTCAGGAACAGAAAACTGGTGCGCTTGTTATTGCTAGCATGCTTGATTTCCTGACATACGCTCTATGTGCTCCATATAGTGAAACAACACTAGGTTCTATATTCGATTTATTGCTCGAAATGGTTGCCGAACGTGGGCCAAGCTTTTATCGGCTTTTTCAATATCCATCGATGACAATTATTAAGGGTTGGTTTGATAAGAATAGATGAGAATTTTAAATCACTTGAAGTTCAGATAAAAGGGATGATAATTAATTGGAAAATTTAATGCAAATATAATCAAGTGAAGGTGTTTTCAGGTTATTTCAATTTCTTCTTAAATTTTTGCATGTTTAACTGTTTTACTTATTTCTTCGTCTTTAATTAGGATTTATGTCGTACTGCAGTTATAAATAAGTTTATTCAATGTGGCTTGTGGCTATAGTAGTCCAGTTTTTCAGGAGCAGGTATGGTAATGCGTGCTATCATTGAAGAATCGACAATAGAAATTTCGAAAAGAATGCAGATGTTATCGTTAACGGAAGGAGCATTTTTGGTGCATCTTCATATGGCTTTACTTAGTGTTGGTCGCGATCTTCGAGTCCTTGCAAATAAACAGCTCAGTGGACATCTGCTTTCATTATGGATTGCTGATAATAATGCTGCGTCTGATTTGCTATCGAGATGTTTGGTGAGATTTTCTATTTTAGAATTAAGTTATTGTTGTCTGAAATGATATTTATAACGCTTAAAATGGAAGTTGGAAGTATTTACTCTGTTTTAACAATATTTTGTATTCCTTTAGCCTCGCGGACTACTGGATTATATGGATTCAGTCGAGAAGCCAAATGTTATGGAAGTAGATTACCTATTGACACGAAATAATTTGGAAGTGGCTAATGAAGAATCAAAGCAAAATCATCTTTTGGTAAGTATGATTGTTAGTTTAATTATGAGAATGAACAATAATAACGTTATCGCGTTTTCTTTTACTCTTATATTTTTTTCGAAAGAATTCTGGTATTTTTTTTCAGGAGCAAGTTCAGCAAATGCAACTACAATTAGAAGCAAAACTTGATCGATTGTTGCAACATTGGAATTTGGAACATAAATTCCTGCAAAAGAAAGATGTAAGAATTTTTTGTGTTACTGTCGGTGTTTTTCTCAATTGATTAATATCAAATTTGAGCATTAAGGCTCACTACACATTTACGTAGGATGATTTATCAGGATATCAAAACATTGTTATATCTTTCTATGTTATGAGAGATTGGTCTGTCTCTATAATAACATAACTGCGTAATAATGCTGCTATCATGATGAATCATCAATTTACGTCAGCTTTATAGAAGTAGTGTAAATACTTGTTAGATGTCCAGATATTAAAATGAATTTTGAGCCTTTGAGTCAGGCTATTTATTGGATTGGTTTTTGCAGGATAAAATGCAGAAACCAGTTGTATTGCGTAAGAGACGACAACGAGTTAAAAGTGGGGTGAATTGGAAGCTGTTTTGTTTTCAGTTTGCTAAAGATCATTGTAAAGTAAGTATTTTCCTTGCTGCAGCATTTTTTTCTACGCTCTTGCGAGAAATTTTTTAAAAACGAAATTATGTAGCGACTACATATCATTTGTTTTACAGTAGAAATCATGATTTTTTTGTGTGAAATTTTATTGGTATGAAGTTCTGATATATATAATTGAAACCCAGCGCTTCATTCTTTTTCACTCGTAATTTCTAATTGCCAACTTTATTTAAGGCTGATTTAATATGGAATGAAACGACACGGGAAGAATTTCGACGCTCCATCGAAGATGAAATGAGAATTTTGAAACAGGAAAAGGAGATTATACCTATGAATATTCCAATCTCATGGAATCATACCGAATTCCAGGTTTGGCCTATCTGAAAATTTGATTTATATAATTTCATTTCTTGCCTACTTATTTTTATTTCTGTTTTCGCATGAAATATGGTGTCTAATTACTCATATGATTCATCAACATAAATCTATGTCGTTAAGATGCAAAAATTTAATTACGGCTTCTTAGGTTCGATATCCCTCTCTGGCTGATGAAGTTAAAATTGGTGATTATTATTTGCGAATCTTGTTGCAAGAGAATGATGCCACTGCTACACCGATACATAATGCGTGAGTTTCAAATATTTTCATATAAGTTTCATAACATATCACGAATGTGTTTTCCTTATTTACAAGAAATATATGGCGAACTTATATGGGACCGAATTTGAGCGAATTAATAATGGAACTGTATTTGCGCCATTGCAGTTGCGATTAAAAATTTCTATAATCAATATCTGAATTTTAAATTAATTTGGTTTGTAGAGGGTACTTTTTCAATAGTGTTTATCACCGATTCCTGCTTTCGGCAAAAAGTGAAATGCGTTGCCTTTGCTTGAAAGCAATGGCTATAGCATACGGACGTCATCATATCACCATTGGACCATTCATGGATTCCAAATATATTGTCAACATGTTATCAAGATGTTCCAACCCAGCTGAACGAGATCATCTGGTGAGTGAATTTTTACAATTTTGAAGTATACCTTCCTTCATCTTGATGTTTGATAAATTATCATCGTTTGTCCTATTTGCCATAAGTTCATAAATCATCCGTGTATTTTAGGTATTCCTAATCAGCAAATTAGTGCAAAATAAGGACAACGTCCGTCAATTGTTAAGCGCTGGCATATTGCCATTACTCACTGACATGGCAGTTCTTGCTCATCTTCACGTAAGCCGAGCGATAATTCATAATCAGGTTTTATTCCCTTCTAAATGTTCGCTTTATCATATCATTAGATATAACAAAGCTTGTTGATTCTAATTCATTTGAATACGAATACCCATAATTCATTTATAGGTTCAAACAAATATAATCGAGGCTGATATTTCAACGAGAAATGATGGTACCGCGGAATGGTACTATACTGATAAAGCAAGTAAACGACAAGGACCAGTAACTTTCAATGAGGTACGTAACATTTTGCAAATCCTGCTGAAATTTGAACATGCGTAATTTCCCTATTAATGTCGGCATAATCTGATTTCCTTCCGACATTCGCTTAATTCGGAAATGAAGATATTTTTGCAATAACTACCTATAGCCTCTAAAAGAGAAAATAAGCGCTGAAATGTGGATTTCTTCCAATTTCAAATTCAAATTTCACATTATTAACTCAATTTCTATTCAGATGAAAAAGCTTTACGAGCAGAAAGTGATTTTTGAGCGAACACAAATATGGGCACAAGGACTGGACCAATGGACAACACTTTCAGCAGTTTCACAATTTCGATGGACCGTGTGCTGTTCCGCTATAACCAATCCACTGTATAACTTTACGGAGCTTTGCACACTTATTCTGGACATCTTCATTCAGATGTGCACATTTTTTCCATCAAGGTTTGTAAATCTGATGATGTGGCAAATTCAAATTTTTTTTGGTTAACTTTTGCTAAACTGTTATACCGAAAAAGTTAGCACGTTTCTGATTAATTTTGAGTTGTCGATTTGTCTGCAAATAAAGACCAGTAAATAAGCGAAATACGTTCTTTTATTTTAGAGATGAAAATGAATATATAGTGAGACCGCTACCGCATGTTAAACGGAATTTATCTGAACCACTATTACTTTATCAAATTGTTCAGTTACTTCTCACCTATGATCCTGCAATTGTACAACGAGTTGCATCCTTGCTATTACATGTTCTTGAAGTTTGTATTTCTCTAAAAGTTTGTTTATACATAGGTCTATGTACTTTTCTAGCTTTATCATGATAAGAGGAGTGATGAATCTTCAGAATATTCATCATTCGTCTTATTTTGATGAGATGAATGACAAAGATTTTGGAGATTGAACTCTTGGAAAAATTACTAAATTTTTGCTATTTCAAGTTACAGTGGAGTGTTACAGGACAATCCTTTTTTGTCACGGTTATATCTTTCGGGTGTCTTTTTCTTCATTCTTATGTATAATGGTTCAAATTTATTGCCAATTGCACGATTCCTTCATTATACACATATGAAGCAAGCATTTCGATCAGCGGTGGTAAGTCGTAGCATTTTTCAAAAATTTTTTATTGATTTATTTGAATTTTACGTCATATTTAATATGAGATTTGTTTAGGCAAAATCAGAATTTGTTTCTCGCAGCATTCTGAGTCCATTACTTCCGGAAGCAGCAATTTTGTATCTGGAGGAATATGGTGCCGAAAAGTTTGCTCAAATTTTTCTGGGTGAATTTGATAATCCAGAAGTTATATGGAATAATGAAATGAGGTATCCAGTTATCACTTTGGATTACGTCGCTTGCAAAACATGATAAACGAATAGAAATTACAGTCTTTATTCATAGGAACTACAACTTCATTTCTGAAAAATTGAATTTTGAATTAAATTTTTCGTTTTTGCACGCATTTAGCATATTTTATCTTACTTTGGTATGAACGAAAACAATCCAACAAATTGCTGAGAAAATTTGGCGGATAAATCTTCAAATAATATGCCATATTTTCAGGAGACATATGATTGAAAGAATTGCTGTACATATCAGTGATTTTTCCGTTCGGCTTCCATCAAACATCAAAGCTTTGTATCAGTATTGCCCTATCCCTGCCATTGATTATCCGCAGCTTGACGGGGAGTTATTTTGCCACGTATATTATTTACGACTGCTTTGCAACATTAAACGTTTCCCTTCTTGGCCGATACGTGATCCGGTGAGTATGACTGCATGTTAAAATAGCTCTAATTAAACTTGATTTATGGAAGCTATTCAAGCCTAAATTACTGCTTACTTTGTCTTAATAAAACTGATGTATAGCTAGAAAAAGTTTAAAATTTTTTCACAAATATTCTGAATTTCAAAAAATCAGAGAAAATGATGTGCAAAAATGACTACTGTTCAAAACCGTTCATTTTCACACTTTACAGTTTTATATTATATGAGAAAACTGCAAGGTTTTCCTTATTGTAGACAGTATGTGCTTAAATTGATAGCTTTAAATTTTAATCTGCTAAGCTAATTTTATAAAGAAACAAACATACTTTTCGTTCTTTTTTCTCACATGTTTAATGAAGTTAATTTAATATTTTTTTAATTTTTTCATGGAGATGCAATTTCAGGTCACATTTCTTCGTTGTTGTCTAGCAACATGGTTAGACGAAATTGATAAAAAACCACCTGCAATGTCGTTAGAGCAAGCATGTTCCGTCCTGTTACTTTCCAACGATGAATCTACGTAAGTTTTCCTTCGTGAATGAATACCAATGTTACCTGAACATCCAATGCAGTTTGTCTGTTATCGGCACGATGGCTATGCGTGGAATACTGTTAGCGTATTAATTTCTGTAGGAGGAAGTTCGCTGATTAAATTTCGGAGTTTTTCAAGGTTAAAGATAACTGCAAAAATCTTTTTCTTATTTTCAGATGGAAAAATAAATCCGAGGTTCGGCGAGCTTACTATAAGTTAGCTCAAAAGTATCATCCGGACAAAAATCCCAATGGCCGAGAAGTGTTTGAACAGATAACATCTGCCTATGAACTACTTACATCAAATGTACATCATTCTGCTTTGCCAGATTTGCAGCGTGTTATTCTATGTCTGCAAGCTCAGTCGATTGTTTACAAGAATTATTCTAAAGGTTTGTTTTATTCATTTGTTTGAGAATTTTGTGAATTTAGAAAAATTTCAGCAATTTAGTGAATTAAGAGTTTTTCCGAAGTAAAGATTTTCAGTTTTTTAGTGACTGTATGCAAGCAGTTATTCACCAGCCCTTTAGTCTAGTAGCGGTTTACATTCCAATAGCGGTCTACATTTCATAATTAGTCTAACATATTGATATCTTTAGGTTTTGAATGCTAAATAGTTAAGACATTGTGCTGATTGGGCGGTTAATATATGGAATTATTTTCTATGATTTTAGCGCAGAAGTTTGTTGTTATGGTTTGAAACTTTTGTAAAATGACTGATACGAATATTAGGTTTTAATTTTTTTATTGATTATAATATTTTTTGCAGACCTTTCACCCTATAAATACGCTGGTTACGAACAGTTAATTAAAACAATAGATTTGGAGTCGAAAGATGATGCGCTGTTCACGGAAGGTGGTGGACAATTACTTGATGCTGCCGTGGAGTTATGTCGTTATACTCTGATGAGCTCTGCTTTGAATGCTGAGCAATTAAGACGTGATGCTGGTTTGGAAGTTGGTGCTTGAATTTATTTTTCTTGGTTGTTTTGGCAATATAAAAATTTACTCATTACTTTGGAGCTATAGTTTGAAATAAAAGAACTTATTCCACAAATTTTTTCAATTTTTTCCGTACTTCTGTACTTTTATTGTCTTCGTAGCTACTGTCTTATTATTAACGACAAATTAATTTTGTTTTTTAAATTATATATGTAATTATCTATAGAATTCAATTAAAAATTATATGAAGTCAGCTTTTGACTTTGTATATCTTATATTTTTTAAGTTACAGAGAGGGAGGAAATAGAAAATAGTAATTGTTTTAGGCTCTGCTGGCAGCATTTGAACGATGCTCCCCGGTGGTCAATTTAAGTTCGAAGGAGGATGATATGGCAGTGCAAGTATAACGTTTATTATTTTTCATCAGTTATTATTGGTCTCAATTTTCCCTATTAGTAATAGAAAACTAGATCTGTATCCAGTTTAGTACGAGCCCATAGAATTTCGTAGTGTTCGATTTACTATCAAAAATGAGTCCTTTTTTCCAATTGTCGTTGAAAATTAGGTATACTTTACATAATGCTGTTGTTGAGAAATTAGATATTTTCACTTCGTACTTCAACCGATCATATATCTCAGCTTTTCGCAAATTAATCTCATTTTTCCCAATTTATATTTTATTTAACAAGTATTTCGGAATATTTTTGGAGCCAAGTTTTTTATTTAAGGTTTGTATCCATTCGCTTTACTGTTTTGGAATAGCTGCTCAGTTTGATGCTTGCCGTGAAAAAATCTCGGAAATGCCAACTTTGTTCAGTAGCATATGTAGGCTTTTACAGTTTAGTGTAAGTTTTTATTTGTTTTCAAAGGTTGTATCGAGCACGTTCAAAACTCCCACGGCATTTTAATAATTTCAACTTAAGGGAAAATAATTTAAAAGAGCTTGGAACTTAAATCCAAGGATTTTGAAGACGTAATTCCACTTAAGGGGACTTTATGTTTACAGCATATTATTCATCTTGCATGCGCCGCCGCAGAATGTATTTGTTCACTTGCCGTTTGCACCATTCTTCAAATGCATCTTTTTCAATCGGGTGTTATCTGGCAGTTGATCCCACATCTATTTCGATACGATTATACTCTCGATGAAGGAGGTTAACTTCTTTGATTCTTACTTGTGTTGGGCTATTTCAGACGTAAAATAGCTTTGTAAAATTTTCAAGTCATAGGGAAATTTTTGGCATTTTGCATATATAATAGAACTTTGTAGGGTTGAAGTAAAATTTTAATTGAAACTTTGAAAGTTAAAAAAAAAGTATATTTGAGAGCATTTCTTTGCAATTATTATAGGTGTGGAACATAGTGAAGAAACAAATAGGCAATCATTGCATAATAAGTTAGCAAGATCTGGATGCGAAGCATTGGCATGTTTAGCTGGCTTCCGACAAGGAACACCTGATAATGACGGCGTGCAGAAAAGCCTCAGAGCTATGCTTACGCCTTATATATGTCGGCTTATGCAGCAGTTTGAAGATAATGATCGTGTAAGCATTTTGCATATTTTTCTGAGGCGAAATAAAGGATTACTGCGGAAACTTAAACATCATGACAAAACTTGATTTTGGAAAACTAAAATTCTTTGTAGTTTATTAACGAAACTTAATTGTGATATCAGGTGTTGAAAATTTTGAATAGTAACACGGAAGACCCATATCTTATTTGGGATAATGGTATACGGAATGAATTGCTCGAATTTATCGAGTATCATCGCACTTCGACATCCAACACGGTTTGTTCATGTTTAATTTTCATTAAGTTCAATGATCTACATTTTTTTATTTTGTTATGCTCATCGCCATCTATAGCATATATGTTTTTAGTTTTTGAATATTTGTTTCATAATAGTTTTTGAATAGTTAAGTACGGTATTGAACTATAATTTACACTTTTATCCTTTTTTTGGTGGAAAAAATCTATTGCAGAGTGAACTGTTTGGTGGCGAATTCAAACTTTCTGCACATGAAAAGGAATTAATTGTAGGTGATATATTTATACGTGTTTTCAATGAACAACCAAATTTCAATATACAGGTATACTCATTTCTTCCAGTTATTTGAATATAACATTTCTCACTTTTAGACTCTAAAATATTACTATGAACTTGTAATAAATAATTCTGGTAATCTTTGGGCTTCATTTGATTTGCGATGGGGATTTTTGTGATGTTAATATTATGATTTTCTAATACTCGGCTGAATTCTCTTTTAGTTATAGTAGTGAAGTTTTTTATTTTATGTTATCTGTTGATTTTTGGTTTACAGGATGAACTAAAAAATAATCGAGTTGAGCATTTTTTTATTCCGTTCAGAAAGCGAAATAAAACAGTTTTAGGAACCAAAGAAATTTTGCATGGATTTGCTGGACTTCTTGCAAGAAAAAGCTGAGCAATTATTTCAAGATGAAAAAGAAAGAAATGAAAAAAAAGATGATACAATGATTGATTGGTGTATTGAGCCTGCTACCACTGCATCGGATGAGATTCTGCAGCATACTATTATGTCGTTGCAGGCACTTGCCAATTTACTTGTTACAAATGCAGGTATGATGCAAACTACACAATAAGATTTCATTATAAAATTTCATGAATGTAAGGAACTTATTCCATTCTCTGCAATTTATTTCTACAACTTTACATTGAAAAGGTCTCTTATAGACAAATTTCGATGTATTCATATTGTCTTATGTCTTTTTAGGTCTTGAGATCTTGTTAATTGGACACTACAAGTTATTGTTTTCATTTCTTAAACTTCAAGAATCTGTGGAATTACAAGAAATCGCTTTGAAAGTGAGTTTTTTTTTTTATAATTCGTTAATTTTAGTTAACTGACGGTGTATTTCAATCGATGTTTTTTGATATTCAGTTTATTCAGTTGTACTCGTCCTTTTTTAGTGGTAATTCATAATAGCAAAAATTGCAGTTGGTGTCGCTAAGTTCTGTAAATCGTGAATGCGTCGCTGACATCGCTGGTTCTTCACAACTACCTCTGTTGTTTTCCTTAGTTTTACAGAATCACAGCTGTAAGTTGATTATTGCAAATAAACTATGTATCTATCACGAGTGGAGTTTTACTGATGGAATGTTTGCATAGATATTCCCTTACGTAGAGTGTAATAGTACATCATTCACTCATTACTAGTATGTTATCTTCCAGTGATGATGCAAGTTATGCTGAACATGCTATTACATAAATATCATGAAATTGGTTACAGAATTAACTGTTGAGGCTTTTCATTACAAATTTAATGATTATACAGCAGGACAAATAGCCTAAAATTCTGCGAAATTACATTTATTTGAAACAGTGATTTGAAAGCTATTTCTTCATGAGATTACTTAACATGTTAATTACAGTTATTCCAACCGTGCTTTCTACGATGATCACATTGGCATCAAATACGAAGATCGTCAAGGAGTCGCTAGAATATGGTTATTTGAAGTTTCATTTTAGACAAATAAAATTGATAAGAGTAGTTGTTTACATGACGGAATTTTCGTATTCTCATCAGAAAAAAGACCATTTTCGCTTTAGTTCTTCCTCTCAAAAAGGAATCAAATTTCTCAAAATCATCCTAAGAAATTTGATTCTTTCCAATTGCTACTTGTGCCTTCATCAGTCCTGTTTCTGACATGTTTATTTTACTTATTTCATTTATAATTCAAAGCAATGATCAAAGCAGAAATAGAATAGTAGAGAGATACACATCGTGAAATATTAATGCGAAGGTTTATGAATAGATAGTTGCATAACAGAATAAGTATATTTTATTTTATTTTTTCCATTTTTTTTTGTCAAGTTGAAGTATTTTCATCGAGCTTTTGATTTCTTTAGCCAAAATGCTCTTGATTATGAATAATTCAGTATTTTGTTCTAGGTGGCTTGCTGTACATTTTAAGCGTGTTTTTCAATGAACAGTTTGATCCAGCGACACGCATCTTGGCAGCGGAATTGTTGGCGAAAATGCAAGAAGATAAATTGACAGGACCACGATGGACACGATTTATTATGCGTTTTTTGCCATCAATCTTCACGGATGCTTTAAGAGATTCGCCTCAGACAGCGTAAGTGAATTTTTTCTTCGACTGCGGCTTTTTTGGAACTTTTAAAATTTGCAACTTCAACTCACTGTGCTTTGAAAATTTCAAGTAATGAGGAGTGGTATCATTTGAGCAACATGCAATTGCTCTCTTTCCCAAAAATTCTTAAAAACTTTGATATCGTGTTGAGCATAGGTTATCGATGTTTGATTCAACTCATGAAAATCCGGAGTTAATTTGGAATGATGTCGTGCGTTCGAATGTGAAAAATATTGTTTCGCAAGAATTAAACCAACTCAGTTCACTACAGTTGCAGGATCCTTGCACAAAATGGAAAACGGTATTTTTTTCCTTCCATTTATGTTTACTTTTATGACAGAATATGTTGTTTCAAATGAAACTTCATGGTTTTGCTGATCTGTCCATTTTGTGTCCTTAGAACCATCAGAGCAATTAAATTTTATCATTTCTATGATACGTCTGAGCTATTATGTTGTTTGCTTCAAATGCTTTTTCACTTCAGATCGTAAAGACAGTGTAACAATTCTTTTGAATGCATTTCTTCACTTTAGTAACTTTTCGATAATGGCGTGCAACACCATTATGGAGGGACAAAGATATAGGAAAATTAATTAATTGCGAAATTTTGAGTAACGCAGAAACTTGTTAAATTTTAGGGTGCAGCAAATGAAAAGTGCGCATATTCTGATATAATGGACAATGAATTAGTAATTGCTGGAGTGTTTTTACGACTTTTTACCGCAAATCCATCGTGGCAGGTGCGCCATCCGAAGCAGTTTATTGCTGAATTGATTGAAAAAGTTCTGGAATGCATGGAACGACCAACACCAGATTTGGATATCGTTACATCTGCATTCGTTGCTTTGATTTCCAATCATCCAACTGTTGCCAATTATGTATATATTTCAAATATTTTATTGAACATTTCATAAATAGAGATTTCTTCCTTCGGTCGAGTTGTAATATTTATCTTGTTGTAAAAAAGATTACGTCGCTATCTGTTCAACCATTGATTGTAATTCATTCAATTTTAAAGCAGTATCAAATAAGTGTGGAGAGTAAAATGCTGATATTTTTTTTAGCTTCCAGCGCAGGGGTATTTGCCGCAGTTTTGTGCATTAATGTCTTCATCAACTGGTTGCGCTTCCCATTCAGCGATTATAATTCTTTCACATCTTGCCGAAAATACGGTTTGTTTGCGTTCCACAAATTTCTTATTCATTTCGAATTTTTCTTTCTTTGCGTATTTAAAATTTAATTATTTATCCATCATTTATTTGCGCATACTGCTTGTTAACAACCAAAATGATAATATAAATACAAAGTCTTTAGTACTGCGCTGATTCACTTGCCAGATTGAACTGCATTGGAGGTATTATGAAATCAATGAAGCAACAACCAGGTTGATTTAGCGAATTTCATGATGTTTAGATGCCTAATATTTCATCTAATTTAATCTGATCAATCTTGTGCTTTTAACCAGTGGGTGGATTAAATGAAACATTTTGATTGGTTAAGGGTTTTTAAATGCATTATATTGCTCTCTGTGATGAATATGTAATGACCTGATGAATAGCAAAGTTCTTGAAAGAATATGAAATATAAATGATAAATTTGAAGTCGGTTTCTTTAGTTGTTCTCTTCAATCAAGTATTTGTTTGTTATAAGTTTTAATTCCTTTGAGTTTTTACAGCTTTAATCAGAGATTCAGCTCATGCATTAAAGTGTTTGTTGAAACGGAACTGCAGCGAGCTTGCTTCTCAGATGCTCTCGACTGGTATGATTGAATATTTGTTGCAGTTACTTGATGATAATATGAAAGGTTTGTGGTAATTATGGATAATATTAAATTTTGATTTAAATTTTAATCTACGAAAATTGCAGTTTTTCTATATACTTACCACTCATAACATTCTTTTTTTGTGAAAAGCTTAATGTAATGATTGATATTGTTTATAATGTTCTAGAATAATATAAATTATCTTCTTATAAAGTCCACTTTTCACCCTTTTCATCAATTTAGTAGAGTTTTTATAGATGATAATTTATTTTTTTCCGTATCTCTTTCTTCAAGGTGTCGACAATGTTGCTGCGGCAAAAGCAGAAATAGTGGGTGCGTTAAAAAATGTTTCGTCAGATTTACAATATGGTGCTAGAATTGCGGAAATTTTGAGTGAGTCTTCCGTCTGGGCACAATACAAGGATCAACGGCACGACCTTTTTCTGCCAGCGAACAGTGTGCGTGCCATTACAGGTGAAAATTTTATAAGATTCTCGGTACTTTCCAAAAATAATGTGCACACCGAGATGATGACACTCAAACACTAATTATGGATTTTGATGTTAAAATTTGAGTATAAAATCCAGATTTTAATTCCAGGTGCTCCGTCAGGCATTGCCGGCTATTTAACCGAGCAAATGTTTATACCACCTTCTACAAACTTTACACCGCCTCCTGCTTCAAAAAAACTGGATCACGGATAACTGTTGAATTCCAATTTAACTTGATTTTTTTATTGTTTCTATGTTAATGAAAAGTGACCTTTTTGAAGTTGTTTGGTAAATACTTCTGTATGATAAATGATGTTGGAAGAAAGTAGAAAGGTTGAGAATTATTTTCAGTATTTTCAATGTTCACTTAATGTCCATGTTCAGCTTTCAAATTTTCTCTATTCAAATTTAACGAGTTTTGTCACTGTAACTTGGTTTCTGATAAAACTAATCTATAAATTTGATCGTGCAGAAAGAGGTGTAAGGGGATATTTATGATTTGATTAAAAAACTATTGAGAAGTATATCAAAAATTTAGTTTCCATATTTTTTTTTGGAAAGTGTATGACGTGATATTTGAGAAAAGCCAAACATTATGTACATATATGTTTGCATAAATGTACTATATATTGTTATCACTTTTAGTTGTCTCAAGTTGAATTCTACCCTGCTAAAGTATTGATCTTTCCTTTTTGTAATAGTGGAAACCATATTTAGTTTTTTCATTTCTCCAACCTTTAAACTTTTTTGACATGCATATATTTTTCATTGATGAACAATTTTCATGTTTTATGACTTCAAAGAAGTACTTCGAATTCTATCATTTTATGCCTCTCTCTTTAAGCATTTTTCACTTTGTTGTGTTTTCAATTTAAAATTTTCGTTTCAGAGTTTAAAGTTCTTTTTTGATATTTGGTGCCTTTTCCTTTCCTATTTATATTAGGAAAATCTTTGGATAATAAGAAAGAAAGCTGAATTGTGATAAGGCTTTAAAATTAAGCAGCTTTTCATGAAATTTGAAATTGGAATAATTGATATAGAACACATCTCCATTCATTTCTTAATCGTGTTTTTTGTTCTTTAGCTTTATTTTTCTTTCATTTTGCCATTCTATCCAGTATATTATATCGTATGCTTGAATAATGCTGATGATGATCAGTGCGTGCGTCTACTATTTTTGATAATATCTCTATCTTATTTCCTATTTTCCTTACATAACCTTATATTATTAACTTTAAGCAGTTCATTATCATTATTATAATAATGAACTGCATCAAAATTATATTCAATATCTTTCTTTTTTAAGCATTACAAAATATTCAAATCATTTCATCTGAATTTGGTTGTTACTGGAATGTATATAGGAGAGATTTGAATTCTGACAATTGTTTCAATTTGTTTCGAAAATTTGCAATCGAAACATTGTTACATAACATCATTCTTCATTCTTAAATGAAAGAAAATAATTTTGACAGAATTAAAGAAATGGTATTAGAGAGAAGAATATGATAATTTCCAGTGGTTATATGAAATATTTTATTGGTTAGATAGAAAGCAAACAAGGATTATCATAATTGCTAGAACTAAATTATTATTGCTTATTCCTATATCAATTAAAGTGCAATTATATCCAATATAGACACCACAATGATTAACACCAATATTGCTATTCTCTACTGTTACTATTATACAATTTGGTTATTAACATCAAAATTTTTTCTTATAAATTTGCAAAATACAATTATGAATTCAATTAGCTTACGAATTCATTACATTCGGAGAATAATTTCATAGAACAAAAAAAGGCTCTGACTTCAGTTCGCTCTTAATCAACCTTGAATATTCAAAGCGGTGTTGAAGTAATTTATAACAATTAAGAAGCGAAACATAAAACATTACTAATCTTTCTTATAATTAAATTAGCATGATTTGAATGGAATTCACCGCTGCTGTATTTTCTCTCTGTTTTTGAATTAATTCTGATAGTGTAATGATAATTTAAACTATCACTGAAGATTTGCATTAAATGACAGGAATAATCCAATAAATTTGTAATTAAATCAATCCATAAAAGTTTGATAAAAATATTGAATAACGTCATAATAACGTATGAGGTATTTTCCGTTAATTAATATTCAATCCAATTTATTATCAGAAATAAACCAAGCTGACTAACAGTCATGAATATGTTTTCCGATTCTGAACCCTTAACGATTCTGAATCCTTAATCCTGAATCCTTATTGATTGCTAATTTAAATCAAATTTTTTTAATGACAATTCAAACTTTGTGAGCTTTTATAAAGCATCAAAGGAATTATGTATGTAAAGAAAGAGAAGAAATGATGTCATATGAAAAGATCTAATCTTAACAGTTAACATGAAATTTATAAACTACTGCCATAATTCAAGTACTGAAATACGTTCTTGAATACACAGGTAATTTTTAATACAAATTCTGTCTGTTGTACATGTCTGTCTGACTTATTTTCATGTTCGTGGTGTATGTGTCTACCCGTCTGTTCCGTCCATTTGTCTGTTTGTTCGTGTGTTTGTCTGTTCGCATATATAATGAAGTGCTAATACTTGTTAAATATGGCTACAATTCGCACCCTAAATATAAACAAACATTTCTCAACTTGCTAGTTTGTATCAACCGTTCTCCGATTACTTTTTCCGGTTTTCCTTCTGTTTACATCGATCAAGTGGACTGATTGATCATATAGTTATCACTTACTGTTATATGTATAAGTTAATTATTATTAATTGAATTTAATTTTATTATCAAATTGAAAATGACTAAAGTATAAATATTGTTCAAATTTAATTTAAAATACTAAAAATGATAAAAATGTTTGGAGCAAAATACAAATTATCAGTGTTAAATTTGAAATTTAATTTAAAATATGAAATAGATTGAAAAAAATTTTTAAATTAAATTAAAGCAACATAAAAAACAACATTGATTTAAATCATAACAATTTTTTTATTTTATAGTATAAACTATAAAATCAAAATTAAATAGCATTTTCAGCAAATTATCAAATGATTGAAAGAATTAAAAGTTTGTTACGAATTTAAACTTATTGAGAACAAAATTTTAAATAAATTATTATTTTTATTTGAAGTGAAATTTCAATTTGATTTAATGAAAAATGAAATTTAATTTTTGTTTTCATCGAAAGGTGAACTTTGAACTAATTAGTAAATTGATTTTATTTTCATTTTTCTTGAACTTACACCCAACTTTCATACCATTAATTCATTTCTTTTATTACTCCTTGCAGTTTACAACGTTACCACTTCATTAAATTTTATTTTCAGCGTTTTTCACGTACAGATACGTCGTAAATGCGATCACATATCATTAATAGTTTATTATAATTGATAAAGTTAATTTTTTTATCAAATATTAATTATCATTCAAAATAATTGTTTTCTTTCATTGATTACATTTCATTAATTTCAACTTTCAATTAATTTAATTAAAAATGCCATAAAACAAAATTAGAAAGAGTAAAAAAAGGATGAAATAAAAACCCTAAAAATGAAAAAGAAAATTGAATAAAATCAAATAAAAGAACAATTATTTACAAAGATACTGGATGGTCACTTCTGGACAATATATGTTTTATTTACTGAAAGTATTAGCAAAACTATAAACAACAGATAGCTATTATTATGATTATTATTATTAGTAGTAGTGATAGTTGGTATCGTTGATGAACTCTATTCAATAGGGTTAATATTGAAGCAAATTGGTAGAAGTGGGAGGTCGCGGGAAAAAGAGAATTGATTTGAAGGAGGAAAACGCAAGAAAAGTAGATGCTTACAAGTTACAACTACCGTAGTCAAATTTACACATATAACTAACTGCTTGTAAATGTAACTATAATTTTATATTCATCAAAGAAATTTAACTTTTGATCATCTGCATTCCTTACCATTGATCAATCAATTACGAATATAGCATTAATAACAAATGCGATATTCAGGAATAAATTGTATAATAATTTCAAGGCTATTTGAAGACAAAAAGTTTCGGTACTTTATGGGCAATTTAAGGATTTTGGATTAAGTGCATTTATTAGTCGAACTTTCAGAATGATCGGCAAGTGAAAGTGATGGAATATTTACTTCATCAATTTAAATGATATCCATTTTATTTTTGCTCAGTACCAATCAAATTTAATCTTATTCTTTTTTTCAAAATTTACTTTTATATTTTTGTTTTTCCATTACTCATTTCACTGTTGTCTATTTTTATCACATCTTTATCAAAAACAAAAGAAAACAGCTAATTATGAAAATAATAGTTGAATGGATAGAAATTAGGAACGATGCGTTGTTCATCGAGTTGAAATGCCTTCGAAGAATCTAAATGAATTCCTAAAATGTTTTTGAAATGCCTAAAATTTCAAAAAAAAAAAGGATGATGGTAAGTTTATTGAAAATATTTAAAATATAAAGCATTTAATGAAAGAATTTAAGAAGTACGACATTCAATGTTAATTATTAGTTTTGGTAATAAATTTTTGAAAATTTTAATTGTGCAAAAAATTTTGAAACACATTTCTTGAATTGTTATTAAGAATGTAAGTGAAACATCAAAGGATGAAGCGACGCTTACATTTCACACTCTGTAATTTATATAATTTTAATTGCAACAAAATTAAAGAAAGCCATTAATGATATGTGCGTAAATATGTAAATAAAAGGTATCGTTGTTATTATTCCTTTAAAATCATATAATTTTATTTCAGTTTTTATTTGAAATTAAGAAAGGAAATTGTTTTCTTCAATAATTTTTGATTTTAATCATCAAAATTTCACTTTTTCTTCATTTTCGGCTTTTGTTTTATTATCGCTTAGAGAAAGCAATAAATTGAAAATATATATTATTGGAAGATTTAATGGAGCACAACAAATATTCCTTTCAATTTTTTATTTCGAAAATTTTATTTTACAAATAGTTAATATCAAATATAATAATATATGTAAAAATCAATAAAAAAAATTTCATCAAAATTTCTTTCATACATTATCCTAATTTATTCTCATCTTCTAACCTTCGGCTATTTACCTATGAGCAATACAAAAATTGATTAAAGGTAAAGAAAAATATATACATATAGCTTTTGTCTTCTTTATAAAAATCAATATATATAACTATAATTTATAATTTATAAAGTATATATAATTGCATTATTTAAGTATATATAACATTCTGTATATGTGCAACATATATTCCTATATATATTTTAGTATATGTAATAAATATTTCTATATATGATATTGAGCTGTGTATATGTATTATTTGAAAAAACAGTATGTATTCCAATAAGTATTTCAAAATATGCGTATAGCATATGTTCTCAATAAGTGTTATTAACTGTGTATGTAATATATTTTCCTATATGTATAAATTATATATGTGTTATTTAAGTATATTATATATGTAATTCCTATAGAATGTTTTATTTATTTGAGTGTATCAGAAAAATCAACCGATAATAATATCCGTAAAGAATCGGAAAGAAAGTGTTACAAGAAAAAAAGGAAAATTATCAGTTTGAAAAGAAGGGAATAGTAATAGAAGGAAAAGATAGAAGGAATAAATGAAAAAAAAGGTAAGGTATTAATTGTGAAATGATATTTTCTCCTTTCTTTGCATGTTTGGAAACATTTGTGAAAACGATGATCTTAATGTATTGGGAATATAAAATTGAAATAAATTTTAGGTTTGATGAATAAATGAGCCGAAAATGAAGCTATTGGAAAGCATTAAACCGATCGTTGCATTAACCAACCAACCGATCGCACTTATCGGCAATCCTTTTACAACCCTCTTCAAAAGCGATGAAAATGAAATAAATTATCCTTCCCATCTAATCGTCCTTTAATAATATTGATAAGATGGTGACGAATTTGACTAAAATAATTATAGATTTAACATCTCTTTTTGCTACTTCATCTATTTTGTTATTTCTTTTTCTTAGTCATCAAATTTGATCAGTATAGAAAAGTGATGAGATTAATTGATCGATTGTTTAACCTCTGTTCATTAATAATTATGATAATTAAAGTTCTTTGTAAGACATTGATCGGATAAAGTATTGTTAATCGAATAAATAATAGCAATAATCGTTGTTTGATGTATTGCAACTTTTAATAGAGATGATCTAATATGCTCTTTTACAAATATCTCATGTAGGAATATAATATAAATATAAAACAATTGATTAGAAACTATTATTTTCAATCAGATCGAAATACATACCGTATTTTTAAGTTGTTGATAGGCGGCTCATTTTGATTCCTCGAAATTACTGTAAAATTTTATTCATTTCAATAAAATAAATTTAAAAAAGTAAAGCAAAAAAAGAAAACAAAAGAAAATATAAAATTAAACTTTGAAAATTTTGCAAACTTTTCATCATTTTTAATCATTTTTGTATGCATAAACAATGTTTTTAGAAACTTTTCTTCTCAAAAATTAACATTAAAGATTGAATTTCAAAATTGAAAGTTTTAATTTGTGGCGATATTATGAAAATATTATTCCTAAAACTTTCAATATTTCTAATCGAATAATTTATTCATTTTGTTTTTGTGTCATAAAACAAAAGAAAGAGTTCAAATGTCATAAAACAAAAGAGAAGGAAAGTTTCTTACTTGAAAACCTTTTAAATTTTAAGAAAAAAAGAATAGAATCGAATCAAAGCATATTTAATTATTTGGTTCGTACACGAAATGCACATTTGCATATATTATTTTGCAATTGCAGTAAAATAAGCAACGCATACAGGTACAACTGTAAAATATAGTTATAATTACAGTAAACCAGAAAATGCAATTAGGACTACTGTAGAATTAACACACACATACCTACAAATACGATTGCAATTACTGTAAAAATAGATAGATTTGCTAAAAAAGGACAATCAATGAATCATTTCAATAAACAATTAACATTAATTAACATTTTATGATGGAAAAATGAATTAAAATATGTAAAGAAGCGAAAAAGAATTCGTTGGATTGAAAATAAAAGATAAACTTTAAAAAAATTATAAATTTTTATTAATTTTCATTAGATCGGAAAAGATAAATGAACACTTATTTCCATTTTATTTCTCTTTCTATCCAAAAATTTAATGTTCAATTGTCAGTGAAAAAAAGGTTGGGAATGAAATATGCAAAATTATTGTTCAAAGTTGCGAAAACTTCAGAAGAAAGAGAAAAAAAGAAAAGAAAAGATAAAAATATAACAAAAAACTTAATTAATTACTTTTAAATTAAATAACACTTTTGTATGAATGAATTATTTAAGTCTAAAATCTATAAAATACAACGAAATTGTCATTAATAAAAAAAATGAGAAATGAAATACATTTATTTATTATTACGACAAATTTTGATTTGAATAAACTTAGGTAAAATCATTAAACATAATTATAATTTAGCTTTACCATAACCAAATCGTTTTCGGATGATTGGTTTAATTTGAAAATTGACTCAGATTATAGGATTTTTTGAATTTCATTATATTTTCCTGAAACTTGGCAGTATATCAGTGTTGTGAGAAATTTTTAGATGAAATTCATGGTCTAACGGAAGTTTATCACTTTGACTGAAATTTCTTTTAATTTTTCGATTACAGTAATTTAAAGTTATACAGAAATCCAATGAGAAAAGGGAAGATGATCTATTTTTTCTGAAATTATCAATGAAACTTAATTCAAAAATCCAATGAAAAACAAAAAATATAATCTCAAAAATAAATTTTATGGATGTTTCATGCATTCATTCAGTGCCTTTCGAATTTGTTGCTTTTCCGGAATCTAATTTAACTCGCTTATGTTTGGTACGACGATTCTGGAACCATACTTTAACCTGAAATGATAATATATCTTAAAGATTGGATGAAATATTCTGCTTTATGAATAAGAGAGTAATGCTTCTGTTATTTTAAGAAATATTATGTGAGTTCTACTAATTCTCAAATATTTTAGAATTTTGGGAATTAACTATTTCACAAAATTTCGCATTGTTTTATTTCAAAGATTCCTATATATTTTCTTGGGAAAGTTTAATATTTTATTTTTTATAATATTTAAATGCGAAAAAATTAAGGTAAGAGATATGAATAAAAAAGATAATGAAATATTATATTTTCATTATAGATTAAAAAATGAATCAAATAATTAATCATAATCAAATCATACAATCTTTCTTTTTCATTTTCCAATTTGATAGGTTTAAATGATAGTAATTCAATAATACTATTATTATGTGCCATATATTTTTGACTAAAATTTCCATCAATGAATTAATAAACAAATTAACAAACGATATTCGAATAGCAAATAATTTGTACAATTTGAAAAGATTGATTTGTTCTAATTCACACTACCTTAATTAATTATGACTAATCCATTTAATTAGCACATAATATTTGTCCATTATGTAATATCGTCCTTTTTTGCCAACCATCAAACTTATACTTTATTAATTATTGAATTCTAATTGTAAACATAATGTTCCTTATTTCTTTATTCAATTAAATTTTAATTTCCAATATTCCTTCTAAGTTTATTCCTTTTCATTTCATTGAAAACTATTTTCCGTTAGGAGGCATTAAAGTTAAATTAACAAAATCTAATTAATTTGATTTAAATAGATTCATAAGATATCTTTATCATAATTCGTTGAATTTAAAATTTTGATTATTCCATCCCTACAGCTTTATTAGTCTTTCTCTCTTTCATCTTTTTCTCTTTCCCTTTCTCTCTTCCATATCCTTCAACTATATTCCACTTGTCAATTGTTGTCATTTTGGCATTTTTCTTGTATTTTATTGTTTACTTAATAGCTTTAAACAGGCTACTATGGTAAGTGGCACACACATACCTTTTTCTTCTTTTCTTTTCCATCTATTTAAATTAATTATGCTCCTCAACATAATTACAGGTGTAAATTTTAGAATTATAAAGAGATTTAAATTAAATTTTTTTAATTTACATAAATTTGACATTGCATTTATAAAATATAAGAGAAAAATGTTTACTAGAATTTTTCCCTAATTAAATTACTCACGTAGTTAAGTTATAACTCATTAATTATAATTATTATTTAAGATTGATCGACCATTTGAAATTAATAGACTTTTTAACTATACCATAAATGGATATTTCAAGTATGGTTATGCTTGAATTTTACAAATGAAGAAAATTTTGAGTCAAAAATAGAATTTGATGTATAATTGTGACTTTTTTATTATTAACTGAATTACTAAACTTACGACAAAGCTAAAATTATTATAAATTTTCTATGAAGCAAAAGAGTTTTCCCGAGATTTACTGCAATATATATAATACTTTAAAATGAATTAAGAAAGGGAAAATCAATAACATATTACTAAGCATTAAATAATCATTTTTATAAGAACGAACTTTTTCAACATTCATCGCAGAATATTTTTCGCTTCCCTAAATTTGTGGATGAAGAATTGATCGAAATAATTATATCAAATAAATATAATAAATTTATTCTCGTTTCTTCCTTGGAAAATATAAATCAAATTAAAAACATTTCATTGAATTTTTGTTTTTTTAAAATTTAAATTAAAATTTGCAAAATTTTCTGAAACATATGGTATTAGCACCTTTGCCTTAGCTGTCCCAACTAATCATTACTTATACTAAACACGAATAAATAATTAAATTAAAATTTTTACCTGTGTTTCGGTAAGTGAAAGACTGGTTGCTAATTCTCGACGTTCATTTCCAATCACATAATGATTTAATTCGAATGCTTTTTCAAGTTCAACCAATTGTTGGGGTGAAAAAGCGGTACGAATTCTTTTATTCTTTCGAAACGGTTGTAAAAAGAGGCCAGCGGTAGTTTCATCTTAATTTTAAATATTTGAATTATTTGGAAAATTTTATTCAATTATAAAAGAATGTGTGCTTTGTAATTTTTAAATAAAATAAGAAAGGAAGAAATCAATCAATCGATCAATCAATCAATCAATCAATCAATCAATTACTCTGTAAGAAATGAAAGTAAAATTGTTTTGATTAAAGTAAGAAGAGAAAGAATTTCTTAAAATAAAAGAGAAATTCTCTTCTTACTTTTTATCAACAACAATTTTATTTTCATTTCTTTCAAAGTGATTAATTGTTATTTAAATTTTTGGAAAATTTTATTCAGCTATAAAAGAATATTTGCTTAGGAGAACTTTAGTAGCTAAAATGGTCATAGGTCAAAAAGATGATAATCAGTAACTGCAAGTGATTAAAGGAAATGAATGGGCAATGAATAAATCCTATCCTACAACATTAATTACATTATTAATAATTGATAAAATTAATTAATTAAGACTTTTGACAGATTAAAAAAATTCTTTCCTCATTTTACTTTAGTGAAAATATGATAAAAAAGAGGAAAAATAAAAGGAAATATTGGTTGGATGTAATGATGAATCTAATGGATGGATGAATATAAGGGTTATATATTAGAAGAGAATGTTTCAAACCATTAATTTACTCAACAAATTTACAGGCAACCAACAATTTAGTAGCACAAATTTATGGGTAATTTAAGATGAAATATTTGTGACAAATTTACTCAATCCATTTCCTATTCTTATCTTTCTTAACTCAAATAGTAATAATATATTATGTTTCTCATTTATTGTGACAGATAATTTTTTAATTCTTAACATTTCCTTTTAAAATATGAAATTTAAGGAATTGAAATTTTTAAGATATTTTTTCTTATGAATGAATTTTGGTAATTGGTTTTTTGTTAAGTAATTGGGTTAAATTTCTGTTTAAAAAAGATAGCAAACTTCCATAGTTGTTAGGATTATATAATAAATGAAAGAGAGTAAATGATAATAACAAGAAATTGCTTAGTTTGTTTAATAATCAAAAATGATTTAACTAAAATTAATTGCTAATTATTAGGTAGGAAAGTGTTCATATCGATTTAATCCAATCTAACTAAATAGAAAGATTTAATTACTGAAATTCTGAGGATCCATCGAAAATTCATTGGAATATGCGATCGATTAAGAAACTTACCTGTTCTACTTCATTTATATTGATCCAATGTATGGTTGCAATTTTTAACACCATCAAATTTTTTTCTCTTCTTAATATTTTGCACTATTTGTTAAACTTATATTCAATTCATTAAAGTTAAATTTGTTAACTTAACTTATTAGAATTAATTAATTAATTTAACTTACAGTTCTTGCACTTCATATACTTAATATTGCGATTAAAATCAATAATTAACATTCGATATTGCAATTAATATGGCATAAAAGAGCAAGTTTTATTTTATTTTAAATTAAAATTTTATTGATCGGATCACATTCTATTCAAATGATAGATTTTAGAATGTTAAAGAAAACATTAGATTGGATGCTCACCAATAAAGCCATTAATAGTTAGCAAAGCATACTGTAATAATCGATCATTTGTTTATTATTTGTTTACTTTCAATTTATGTATTTTGAGAGATTGAAGTTTGCGGAGACATAAAAGTTACGCTTTCACTTCTGATAATAAAATAATTCAAACTTCACTACACATAAAAAGATAAGTTCAAAACAAACCAAAATGTCGATAACCAGATTGTTGAATAAGTTCAATCCATTGTTGTGACCATAATTTTTGTTGATTATGACAGATATCGTTATCATTGACACCCATAATAAAAGGATTTGTTGATGCCATCTGTAAAAAGAATTGCGAACATTTCTAAGAAATGAAATTAAAAATAAATTCAAATATAGGAAATGAGCTAAATTTTGAAAATTGAAATATTCTCATATATTTATTGCAAGATATAATTTAAAATAACACTTTTTCATTTTCCTTTTCCAAAACATTATAAAATAAAAAAGAAAATTAAATAATATTTTGAATTTCCCAAAAATATTTCTTATGCTAATTAATGATTAGAAGTAATATTGGAATTAATATCTATTCATTATATTAAAATGAAAAAAATAAAAGTATTGTTTTTTAATTTGACAGCAATTATTGAAAAACAAGAAATGTATTGAAAAGATAAAATATGACACTTTCATTATTTCATATCATTTATCAAAGTGATATGTTTGTTACACTAAATAACAGAATGATTACTGTGATTTTGTTGAATTTTCAGAATATTTTTTTGTCAAAAAAGAAATGCATAATTGAGGAAAGAAAATGTAATCAATAGAAAAGAGATAAAAAAGGATAGATTAATTATAGACATTAGACGACAGCTTTGGTTGATTTGATATTATTAGTACAAAAAAGATGAGAATTATTGAGGTTGGCAATATTATTAACCAATAAACAATTCATACATTTCATTGTTACATATAAATCATCAAAATAATCGATAACTTTATTCAACTATTATATTATCTATTCATTTATACGGGCAAATCTGTTGATGCTATTAAAAAAAATAAATTTTTGTGATAAATATTTATCAGTAGGAATTGTTAAATGTTTAATCAATAACTTACTTTTAAATATTATATATTCCTAAACTTAGCTATACTAAAATGCTATAAAAAGGATGTGAATTTGTTTAGCATTATGCAGGTACTTTTATAACAACTTTAATAAAGTTTATTTGTTTGTAATTAGTTTAATTTGATAATTAGAGAAGAAACAGTAAGGAGAAAAAAGGTAAAGTAAAAATTACCTGAATATGTGGGAGTAAAACATCAAAATAGGATAGCGTTTGTGGAATTGGCGCTGATAAGCATACAATCGGATGGCAAGATGTTGGCGAAATTGAATTATTATTACTATTACAATTATTAGTACTATTATTATTACTATTGTTATTATTGTTGTTGTTATTGTTGTTGTTGTTGTTGTTGTTTTTATTTCTTGTAACAGTTTGATAATCAGATTTGTAACTCTGATTAGCTATTATATTTGGTAAAAATAATTCTCGACTTGTTCCCGGTATGCATTCATTTGGACTTGTAGCTAATTCAGTTGAATGTTCATGGGATTCGGTTGATTTTACATTCGAAAAATGTTGATTCAACGTAGAACTTTTAAGTTGAACAGATGATAGCTTATTGAGGGTAGCAGTAAATGCTGGTGAAATAACATCCTCATTGGATGATAGGATTTTTGGATGTGAAATAATATCAGCTTCGGATGTTTGATCTGAGCTACGCTCACTAGAATATATTTCTCGTTGTTGTTGTTGTTGTTGGTGATGATGATGATAGTGATGTTGATGGTGATGATGACGATAATGGTGATGATTGTGACGATGATGATAATGATAATGATGATTACTAATTAAATTTTCCACCGAAAAATTTAATGATGATGGCATAACAGCAATTAATATTATAAGCATCGACCAAAAAATTTATTCTAAAATAAATTATGCAAATTTTTTTCCTTTTTTGCTTATTTTTCCAAAATTACCAATCAATGCAAAATATTCGTCGTTTTGTTGTTGTTTTTCTTCACAAATATTTCAATAATTATCATTCATATGGATGGACAATATGAATGGACAGTATGGTTGGACAATATGGATGGACAGTATGGATGGAAAACGTGGATGGACAATGTGGATGGAAGTATAGATGGACAATGTGGATGGACAGTATGAATGGAACAATGTGGATAGACAGTATGGATGGAACAATTCTTCGATGCAAACATTCCAGTAATTAGCACTGATATTTGTCACAGAATATGGTAATAAATAAATGAAACAATATTGGTCATTGCAAAACTTATCATAATCGTTGAGATCCTTCAAACAAACAAAACAAAACGTTGATGATATTTACCATACCAATAAGATTGAATGTCTTTTAAAGGCGGAGCATTTTTCAGACTTAACAAAATGAAGAAATGGGTGTGTGTGTGTGTGTGTATGGATGGAATTATCTATCCATCTATCTCTATCTATCTGTCATCTGAACAGAATTTTAAGATAGACTTCGAATTAGAACTAGCTAGCTGTTAATTATTATTATGAGAAGTTCATAAGACAAGAAAATTTGTAGTAAAAAGTAAAAAAATGGATGGGAAAAAGAGAGAAGCAATCGTATATCTCAATTCTATTATTTATTTTTTTACATCTAAACTTTTTCTGTTATCTATTTTTTATCATTGTTATTATCATTATCGTTATCGTTGTTGCTGTTATTATTAACATCAAAATTACTATTATTTTTATTATATCTGTCTACTAAATATATTCTAAATTAATTGGTTTTTAAATTTTCTGCCAATTATTTTGTCTAAATTTAAATTTTTAATGGTTAATAAATTGATTCATTATTTTTATGACATATTAGATATAGAATATTATGTTTGGTACAGTCAACACTCCATTCAAATATTTTTTCAGCCTATTCTAAAATTGTAATAAATAATAGTTGCATGGGTAAATTAATCACTCTTTTATCGCTTCCGCATTTTGTTAAATTTTTTGCAAATTTAATAGTGATATATTTAAAATTAATATAAATCTATTATCATGAATTATCTATCATTATTATGATTATTATAATCATACATATTCACATATTATCATCATCATCATCAGGATCATTATCAATATTATAATCATTGCATTTCAAAAAGCTCCTATTATCTCCTTTTCATTCATAACTATTTTTCTTCTTTCTTCCACCTTCCTTTTCCCCGCTACTACCAAATACCTTTTAACAAATAATTCATTCATTCCAAAACGGTTCCTTCTAATTTACTGATTTTCATTATTTTCATTTGGTGAGAAAATATACCGAATATGTGAATATGCAATATGCCTATCTTTTGATAATATCTAAAAAAAGCGGACCATTTGGGTTAATGGGTTTTACCCGTTCTTTTGCTTTATGGCTTATTTACCCTTTTTCATTTTCTTTCCCCATTCCCCCCCGCTATTTCCCTTATCCGATTTCTTCCTTCTTTCCCCCGCTCACTATTCATTGTACGATATTCCATAAAGTTAGAATGCATAATCAATTTGATTAAGCGAGAGAGAAACAAAATCTACCAATAATTGCAATTAAGAAATCGTTTCTTTCTTTTTGCATATATAAACTTCATTTATTTATATTTTTTGATAATAATTATTATAAATATAAAAATAATATTACAAAAATTTTTCGTTGATCGTATAAAAATTGATGGATTGATTTTAATTGGGAATAAAATTAAATTGGAAAATATAAATTTTTTTTCTTTTTATTTTAAATTAATGAATTATTTTGTGAATTGTTTTTCTAATTTCAGACTTCTAAAAAACAATAGGAAATTTAATAAGTAAAAAGAAAAAGAAAATGACAGATCTTAACTTAATTAGTTTATTTGGTTATTAATTTTTAATTAAAATGATATATATATATGTAAATCTCATAGTATCTTTTACCTTTTCTTTTTGTTTATTCTTTTATTACAAGAAAAATTTTATGAAAAAAAAGAAATAAAATTCAAATTTATGCAAGTCTCCATAATAAATTTCATTTTCATACAATAATTTAATCATTTCTAATAATAATAGTAATTAATAATAGTAGTAATTAATAATTATAAGTAATAATATTAATAAATAATAATAATAGCATTTATATTATTCAGTGTTTCAGGGATATTTTTTACGTAACACTTCAGTAACAAATACAATCAATAATTACGTAATGATAGATTATTGAATTGTATAAATTTCGATTATTGAATAGTAGATCACAGCACAGGGATGAGTAGATTTACTTACAAATTTATGTAGGAGAATGAAAAAGTTCAAAATTGATATTCTCAAAGTGAAACTACTCTTAAATTTGAGATTTACGCTCTCCGATATGATTATATTATTAACTAACATATCTGAAGTTTCGCTCTAATTTTCATCCCAAAATTAGGAAATTAAATTGAATGTTTTAAATTTAAAACAAGAAACATTTCTCTATCTGAAAAAACATATACAATAACAAAACATTTAATCGATAAGTTCAGTTTTGATCCCTAAAAATGTTAAGTATGATAATATCAAGAATGCTTCTTCCTTTCTTGCTTAATTTGTCATTCTGTACGGATCGATCTAAATTATGAACATTGTAAAGGATAAAATTAAATGCAATTTTTAAGATTAATTTTACTGTTTTGTAATTCAGTTTTGAATTTTAAGCTTTATTTCTTGTTTAAAAACATCAAACTGTTTAACAAATATTGATTAATATTTCCTTTTATATAGCAAACAGTAATTTTAGCAAATCTCAAAATTCTTCTACTACGCAGTTATAAGTTTTGTAATATACAAATTTGTGTTTCTTCATTTATTTTCGTCGATGAGAAAATTAATCAATATTTAGTTGTGAGAGAAATTTATTAAAGTCATTACACATGCTTCCTTCAAGGTTTGTTAAAATATTGCCCGAGATTTACCATGTTTAGAAGTGTTATTTGTTCTACTTCAGTAAGCGCCCGTAACACTTCTATATTTTTCAAAAAATAAATTTTGAAATTCAGAACGAAAATTTTCGGCTCCTATTGACAGGAGAAAAATGTTTGAAAACATTGGTATGATCTTTAATTTGAATAATTCATCCAAGAAGCGAATACTTGATTATATATTATTGATCGATCAGTGTCCAGAAGAAAAACCATGATTAGTCTGCGGATAGTAACAAAAAATTGTTCGAAAATCTTTACTGAAATTTAAAATAAGCATAAGATTGATGAAATTGACGAAATTTTGAAATGTATTTATAATTATGTTTAATTTATTAACATAAAAATGAATTAATTATTGGTTCTATTACAACTATTCTTATCTTATGATTACAGGTAAATATGTTTTACCGATAGAAAGAAGAAATCCTAAAATCTTGAACAAAAGTTAACCACAAATTTTTCCAAGTCAACAATATTATTTGTTGCAACATTTAGCAATAGTTCTTAAGCTATTAATTGGATTAGGATAACAAGCATGTTGATATATTTCAGTATTCAGTGCATTTTCATTGAATATTTAACTTTCCTTAATTCACAAACAATTCCATAAGTTGCCTTTTCTTTTACTATTCAGAAAGAATGGATGGATGGATTGATGGATTAGTTGAAAAGGTCAAAATTTCAATTTCAAAATAAATGACTTTTAAATAAAAATATTGTGAAAGAAATCAGTGAAAATAATTTTATTTTCAAATATCACAAACGCATTTTATTTCATTAAACTTTCACTAACATTTCATTTTCTTTCTCATTTATCACAAAAAGTAGTGAAAAACATTTGTTATGTAATATATTTGAAATTGATATCAAAAAATTCACATAATTTGAAAAATTAAAAGTCTGAATCAGAAAATAAAAATACCGTGTCAATTATTGAAAATAAAATGGTATCTTACGGTAACGGTATCTCGCTACCGTAAGAACGGTCAAAAATAAGATGTATTGATAAAGTAATGATACTTTAAGATAAGCATACCATATTATCAATAGAGAATTACTTAATTTTATTACTGTTAATATTATTACAGTACACAATCCAATTTTACTTTTATCAGATCATAAAATATCAATTATTTCCACCGTATATATTAAAACTTTGATACTGTATATGATCGTTCGCCAAAAACTATTCGCTGAATTGTGAAGTTACATACAGTTTATTAAATAAACAGCATAAGCAACATATATTGCAATATATAAACATACATTCTTAAACATTCATTTATAAATATACTAACCATAAACAAATCTATATGATTTGCATATACGTGCGTACGTATAAGTAAGTACAAATCAAATATTTATCATAATTGTTGAGGGGAGAAAAATATTGCAATTATTGGAAATTAATTAATTATTTGAGGAATACAAGAATTGTTCAGTGAAAGATGGAATTCTATATTGAATAATATATCGTCTGATATTGCAAAAAAAAAAGATTGGAAATGAAAGATCGTCCAACTTAACTTAAAGATCGAATGATAAATGCTTATCGAATAATTATTGCTTACAGTAATCAATTACTATGATTTTTACAAACTTTGCACTTCGGTGAAACAGCAAAAAAAGCGAAATTTGAATATTCATTCTTATTAACTATACTATTAACGATAACTTAACACAATGATAATTGAACAGTATTCTTTTCTATATATCTACCTTAGGACTTAAGAATTTTAATTTCTTATTACTAACTTTTTTCCATAAATTTTTCGGAATCGCAGTAAATGATGATGAATCAGTTCAAGAAAAAAATTTGGCTTTCCTAAATTTCCAACATATTTCAGATTTATCTTCCATAATCTTTTAAATTCAAATAATCCAATGAAATGTATTTGTCGAAGTATTCCTCTAATTTCCAAATTTCGTAGAAGTTTAGCAAACATCTCTTATCTTATATTATTATTACTGCTACATTATCATCGTTTTCAAAACAAAGAAAAACCCTACGAGGTTATGCAAATTATTTTCAACGAAAGAAAGCTGCCACCAATTTCTACGACATTTTTAAAAATTCGAAATTATCCATGTCATCTAACAACGAAAATTTTTTTTTCAAATGTAGAAATTTTAAAAAAAGTTGGAAATAATTAAAGTGTAAAGATACAATAAAATCATATATTTATTGTAACATTTCATCGCATAATATTATGATAATGAAAAGGACAGAAATTCATTCAACTATAAATCTCATTGGAAATGATATTAATCGATGGGAAATATCCAATATTATAATTAGCATTTTAATCGTATGTACAAATTATAAATGCATTAACATTTCTTTAAAAGTAATAAAGCAAAATTTTCCGTTTTAAATCTTTTAATAATTTCAAATATTTGAAATTTAAGTTAAAATTATGATCGTTTCAGATAGCAAAATATCTATCATTGCGTATTTACTAAAGCAGGTGACAGTTAGATGAGTAAAATTATAAGCTTCACAATTAAATATCAGTAATTAGGAAAATTATATGGAATGATTAGTAGGATTATTGATAATGGTTGTAATTTAGAATACAAATCGATAGTATCAAAGAAATTCCCAAATTAAATAATCGATATTACAATACCGTATATTGTTATAATATATGATACCCTGACATATTCGACATATTCGTATTTTCAACAGTTTATATCATACTTTTTTAGAGGAACAAAAAAAAGAGAAGTTTTGAAATGCAAGAAAAAAAAGCCTCAATTTAAATATTTTGAAAAACTATGCGATTACGAAATGATTTGAAGATAATTTTCACTGTTACTTTACTTAATATCATTTCTGACAAATTATTTTATAGTTTATTGTACTTACAGATTTAAATTTCTTATTGAATTCTTTTGATTTTTGTTATTAATTTAAGGGAATAAAATGTCAGTTAATTAGCAAGATATATTAATTTTTGAGTTATAACAAGGAGTCAAATATCGCCAACATAAATTTGCAAAGAGGAAGGAATAAAAAGGAAAAAAAATTGTATTTTGAAATTTTGATTGATATAGTTTGAAATTTTACATTCATCTCAGTTTCACTGAAATCCAAAAAAACCCACAAGGTAATATTAAATATTAATCAACTGCTTGTTAAATCTATTTGGCTTATATCATCTTAAGGATATTGTAAATGAAAGAATTACGATTAGAGTACTAAAAATAGTTTTTAAAAGAAGATAATTATAGTTCAGAATCGTTTTTGTAAAAGATATTAATATGTAACAAATCAAATGAGAGTGATATTACATATCGATCAATCTTGCATTAATTATTACCAGTAAACCAATCAAAGTATCCGGAAGAGAAGTTAAATAATGAAAAAGAAAGGAATATGTACGAAAGATTTGTATTCCATTCTGTCATTAAATTAAATAATAAATATATTAATAGACTTTAGATAGTAATAGTAATTATAAAAAAACGTCCCTTTATTGATCTAATCATGCCTTATCATTATTATCATAATGTAATAAAAAATGAATATAGAAAATAAAAAGATCTAATAAATACATAAATAAAGGTGATGTATGAAGGAAAGCAATTAAATATGCGAATAGACAAAAATATATAAAAGAATTAATGATAATGATAATTTAAGTTTTTTTGATATAATATTTCAACAATGTGCAATATTTTTCCTAATTAATGGCTTGCCGTGTGTCATATAAACTTGGAGCCTACAAAGAAGAAATATAAATTAATGTGATATATACATGTCATCATACTATAAACTAACTATTATTTATTTGAAAAATAATTTTTAAAAAATTTTGCAAAAAAAATTTGACATAGGAGGAAATAATTAATTAAATGAAACAATCAAATGTAAGCTAATAGTTCTTTTGAATAACTTTAGTCTTGTTTAAGGCATTACATATTTTAACGAAAAGAAGGAAAAATGATTTAATAAATTGATAATATGAAAATCACTCCTATAAATATGTATGTTTAAAATAAATCTTCATGCAAAAATTTGTTGCACAATTATAATTTCATTAAAAAAAACTGCCTATTAAACAATATGCTAATGCAATAAAATTTTAAAATAGTAAAGCTAATTGATACCTGAAAAAGAATTAGGGCAGTACCCGAAAAACTGGTAATTGAAAAAAGCAAAAGGAATAATCTGTCAACTACCATAGCAACAAATTTCCAATCTTCATCAATCTGAAAGAAATTTTTGATAATTATTAATGGTAATTAAATTTTGTATTTCGATCAATTTGATTTTCCTTAAAGCATAATTCGAATTATATTGCTAAATAAATTTAGATAGAACTGCTTTTTTCCGAACTGCCAGAAAAAGAAGGAATAAATATTCTATTCATTCCGATTAATTAAAATTAAAGTGCGACACTATTAACAGTGCTTTTCAAAATAACTATTATATATTAAGAAGCAAACATAACAACAGGTATAAATGTATTAATAAATATGAAATGAGGATAATTAATATATTTAAAATATTGCAAGTAAATATGACCAAAAATTGAATATTTAATCTAATCAAAAACATATGTAATAATGAATTAATGGTTGAGTTGATTGAAAGATTCATTCCAATTATGAATTAAGCATAATCCTTTCTTAAGATATTCGAAATTGTTCACAGTAATTAGTTAAAATTTATTTCATCATTATACTAATTTTTCAAACTTAATTCAATCATAATTCATCGCCCATCAAAAATATATCTTATAACAAATAGCAAACAGCCCTATTTGTCCCACCGAATAATTATGCAATTTATCAAAATATTAGAATATAAGTATTTAAGTCTTTAATTATATCAAATACAAATTATTTCTAAAAATTTATTATTATATGTATATCAGAATAATACTTACCATCGAATCGCGATCTTTCTTCTTTAACAAATCCGCGATGAAACAAACATTCTCAAATGCCTTAATAACATATGGCGAATGATAAAATTTTTGAATTTCTTCATTAAAATGTATATTTGCATTAACGCATTCAACACAACTTACTTTTTGTTCATAACGATTAATTATCATACTTTCACCTGAAACAACGAAACTCATTTTCAACTCATTTATTAAATAATCACTAATTAAATTCATTGAAATTCTATATATGCATATAATGATTAATCTTTTCATCATTCTCCCGTTAAAATTAAAAAACTTTAAATATTTAATTGTGTTTGCAAAATTACCTTTCATAAATTTATTGAAATTTCTTATGAAATAACTTATGATTTGATTGATATTATAGCAAAAAAAATTATCGGAAATTTACATAATTCTCTTCGTCGATGATTAGCCTTACGAAATGCTTCATCAGTTTCAATTATTACTGGTCGTCGCATCAATAATATTTTGGGTAATATCTTCAGAAATAGCCATTTGACCCAATCAGGCATTTGATGAGTTGTTGGCCTTCGAAAATGTAAATTCAATGCTGCAATAATTAAAATATTAGTAGCTTCTTGCCATTTTGTTTGTTTGTTTGATTTCACTGCTTTTTAAACAAATAATTAAATAGCATTAATTTCTTTTGTTTTCAAAATATTAACAAATTTAAAGTTTTGCATTTATTTTAAAACAAAATACTGAAATCGAAAAAATAATTCTGAAATCTTTTTTATTAGAAAAACAAAAAAACTTGTAGAAAAAAATTAAAGTTTATGGTAAAACTAACAAATGACAGTAACGAGCACACTGAGCGATACCATAATCATTGTAAATAAAAGATATTTACCGATTAAAGGTAGAGCGATACTTGCTGCCGGAATTATATCTTTCTGTTAATCAGATTAATTCAGTTTAATTCCTGATCGATTGAAAGAAAATATCATTTAAATTATAGGAATTAAAAAAAATTTATTCATACTGAATTTTTTAATTATTATTTAATTTGCTTTATGATGAAATATAATATGATTACAGTAATAATAAACATATTACAAACAATTGTGGACACATAAATATAAATGATACTATATTATCTACTTAGTCTTTTTTCTGCAAGCAAATTGTAAACGAATCGTTCATTTGTGAACTATCTAACTAGATAGCATTATTAACAAATGTAATTAGTTTACCTGTTCACACAAACCATCATTTTCTANATGATACTATATTATCTACTTAGTCTTTTTTCTGCAAGCAAATTGTAAACGAATCGTTCATTTGTGAACTATCTAACTAGATAGCATTATTAACAAATGTAATTAGTTTACCTGTTCACACAAACCATCATTTTCTATTTATCTTTCTCTCTTTCTTTTGTCGACTCATTTTTTTCATACTTTGTTTTTAAATTTTAGTCATGCAGGAAAGCAGTTTTAAACAAAGCAATCTATTTGTATTATGCATATGTGATACTTCATTCATGCAAGCTTTACATGTACACAAATTTCTCAAATATAATCAAGGATGAGATTAATTATTAAATATTAACTTATTTCTTAATATAAAAATTAACATTAGCAACATTTCAAGTTTAGGAAGTAATTAAAATATGTTAATTAAACAGCTACAAGATTTTCTTTTGTTTTTTAAAAAGAAGAAAAAAAACAAACCAATAAAAGGTAAAAAACAGTTAATGCGACCAATATTAAGATACATAGTGTGACCTTTTCACCACTTCGTGACGGCAAATAAAAGGCGACAATTGTTAGAAATGATATACCAACACATGGAAATACCAAATTTACCGTGTAAAATAATGGTTTACGACGTAATTCTAAGTAAAACTGAAATTGATAAAAAGCAGCCTGAATTGGCATTGTAGATTATAGTATGATATATATTATGAATATGACATTGTGATTATGATCAATCTAAGATCTCATGCAAAACGAACATGAAGTGGAAGTTAGGATATCGTAAACCTAAGAAATTAAATTAATGTTACACTTAAAATCTTTGAATTAACAGTATAAATGATTACCATAATATCAATATATGTTCCATCAGAGCAACAAGTCGGATAATTTTTCGTATGTCGCTTTGCAATCCTTGACATTATATCCCATTCCACTGAAGGATAGTAATCAGAAAGATCTATAACGAATTATTCATTATATAATCATAATTAGTTTAAAATTGAAAACAAATATTCATAATATAGCAATCTTAATCACTAATCATTAATCAGTAATCATGGTAAAAAATAATTTTTATCAATGAAATATTATTACCAATTCCTTCTTCGACAATTGTAATATTATCCAATTTACCATTTTCATTCGTTTCTAATTCATAGTGTGCTTTGCCATCCAAAAATTCCAAATTTAATAAATCGTCGGAGTATGTCCAGGAACCGAACTAAAATTATTATAAAATATCCAATTGTCTTATGCTTCCTTTTTTTTCTGCTAAAGTAATGCAAAAAAACTTTTGCGAAATTTATTAATTAAATTGGCAGAGAAAGAAAAAAAGAGAAAATGAAAGTTTTACCTTAAAATAACACTGTTGTTCATCAAATGGAAACCTATAATATAAAACATAATTAAGATGTATAAGTTAAGAATTATTTCTTGCTTACTAAATTTTAATTAGTGGTACCATAATTTAGGAATTTACCAATCACTTTATGTATCGAAAATTTTAATTGAATTCATATAAATTTGTGCAAATCATTAAATTTTTGATTACATATTTGGTCAATTTTCGAAATAATTAAAATTATATGATAATTTCAGATAATAAAAGAACCAACCATCGAACATCAATTTGACATAACGTTTTAAAAATAGCCGGTGGTTCCCAGGTTACTTGACCATCGTATCGTAATGTTGCTTTTGTGCTAATTGTTATGTTATAGTTACTGTCAGCACTAAAATATATTTAATCATTCAATTGATTCAGATATTCATATTAACTTCGCCAAAATAATTTATAAAATAATTGATATTTATGATAGGAAATTAACATATTATAATATTATTTCTAATTTTAAGTTCACCATACCTTCTAATCGCTCATTCGGAAGTAATTATTATGGGATGGGACTATTTTAAAGTATATCGAAAAGGTTAAATTCATCATCATCCGATCTTCAAGAGGAACACAAAGTTTTATTTCGCTCTCTACTACTATTAGATTGGATTTTTCGAGTAATTTGATATGGGATTGTCTTAGATATTATTGTCTTTTCATTTTGAGTTTTAAGTAAAAATGACTAATCAAACAAACACTCTTACTCTTAGTCATTAACTTTATCAATTTAATTTTCTTCTTATTCCACATTATTTATCGATTAGAGAATATGAAATTCGGAATTTCTTTGTCAAAATTAAAAATACATTGAACTTTCTAAAGTAATCATTGAAAGATGTAGCAGCCGGAAAATTACTTGCATTAATTTATTCTATTATATTGCTGTTGTTATAAAACTGTCGTTAATTAATTAATCAATAAGAAATGAATTACTTATTGTATAAGACAATATCAGGTACCCAAATCATTTCATATGGTACATAAAGTACATTAACTCCGCCGTAACTTTGTGGATTCCATGATAATTTTTTATCCATCCATACTTGTTTTAACCAAACGCTGCATGTCATGATTTGATCAATTTCATGCTGCAAAACCAGATTCAAATTGAAAAATGAAATTTGAATAGTTTGAAAATTAAGAAACCTAAGAATATTTTGTCGAAATTGAAAATCAGAATTGAAACCTTATAAATTAATTTTTTTGAAGAGTGTCATCTAAAATATTGTCATTTAATCAATAATATATTATCGTTCTCTTAAATAAATTGACATATATTAACAATCAAATTTAGGATATAATTTTCAATTACTTACCCCCCCCCCCTAATAACCTGACTGATTCTTAATCATCGTCTAATTAACAAAATTATTGAATAATAAAATTTTAAATGTTAACAATGATACCGTACAACATCAATAATTTGTGAAAGCCGTAATTTAAGCTTAATAGTAATCGGTTTATTTGGTGCTGGTGCCGGTCGCCGATGCTTATTATAATTTACCATCAAATCATCATATAATCGTTTAGCATTCTCATTACCGTATAACATCGGTATAAATGGCAATAAGAATGATAATATCAATTGGATCATATTGTAAGTTAACTAAACTAAATTGTAATCATTTTCCGAATACATCTGAAAATTTCACAAAATGAAATGAAAATAAAATAATCGGAATGTGAATATAGACCGACTATTTAATTAATAAAAAGAATATTATGCATTTAATCTGCTGAATTAATTAATTGAAATAACAATAAATAATTGAGAAGTAAAATTATTTCGAAAAGTTGAAATCTAAAATTTGTTTTAAGCATAAATTATATGGATAACTTTCTTCCTTTCATCATATTTAGTGAATGATTATTTGAGCGTTGAAAATTTCACATAAAATTTGATGGAAAATTTTTGTTCATCACTTTTTTACACAACTTTCTTTCATATACTAGAAAATAAAATGTTAATACGAAGATTGCTTTGATGCATACGGATGGATTTCTTGATTTAATGAATTAAAAAATTGTTGAAATGAACCTAAAAATGAATTACACAACATATGCAGATGAATTTATTGTTAAATCAATGAATTAAAAAATTGTTAGTAATTGAAATGAAATGAGAATGAAAGACAGAAGAAAGGAAGGAAGGGATGATGTTTATTATTTGTATTGAAGCTGAGAAGAAATTACATCGTTGATTGATGGCACTTATCAGAGAAACAGCTCCAATAGAAGCAAACAGCGACAGCAGCCAGCATTTTCTGAACCGATAGATGATGATACTAACAGATTCCATGCCTTTCATCTTCCTTCCCTCTCTCTCTCTCTCTTTTATTTTTCAATTCTTTTGTTTTATTTTGTTGAACGAAAACAACAAAAAAGGAAGATTGGAAAATAAGCAAAGGAAAAAAACTTGTGGAAAAATGTAATTCACATTTATTAGGTAAGTGAAATCATGTTAACAAGTTCCCTCCCTCCTTTGTCATTCAATTTTTAATTCAAATTTATAAGCCTAAGACAAATCCAAATGTTATTAAATATAAATTTATCATGCAAGTACTAATCTGGAATTCCTTTACATACTTTTGCACAAGTTTATTTATTACATTCGGTCCTATTCAGGTCTAAACGAACCCGCTCGTCGCATCTGATTTTCCATAGCTATTAGGGCAGTTAATCCCAATCATCTCCTCTAATCAATTTCAGCTAATTTCAGGCTAATTTGAAATTTTCCATCATGCCGCTCCCAGTATTGCCAAAACCGGGCTCGCCCATGACTAATCTTTAACAAAATATTCAAATCAATTTCAAAATATTCTAGAGAGACTTGAATATAATTCAGAAAATGTATGGAAGAGATTGGTTTTTTCAGTTTTGTTTTGCCGGTAACTTTTTTCATAAATGTGCAGAACATCAAAATGATGCCCTGAAACCAATTTATGCTTCAAACAAGTAATATCAAATCTTCCTCATTAATTAATCCACGACAAAAATATAATCCGAATAATTAATAGAATACAATCTGTAAAAACTATACAAAAAAACATGCAGCAATAACTTTCAAGAAATTTTAATATCCGACAAAAAAATCATTTCACAAAATTCTGAAAAGGAATTGAAATAATTAAAAATATATGAAACCTCAAATAATGCCATTTTTGGACACTTCATACCTTTTACAATTAAAACTTTGACAAATACATAAAATAAAATAAAAAAGTAGCGTTTTACAATTCTTCGTAATTTAAGAACCGATGGTATAGATATATCATCGTTTAATAAATTTAATAGAAAAGTTGCAAATTGGTATATATATATATATATATATATGAAGAAGAGATCGATAACAGAAATAAAAACCTTTCTGTACAAAGAAAAAATAAGGAGGAAAGAAGAACTGGAAGTAGAAAATTTCATAAAACTAATACACAAACAATGTCATCGAGAGATAAATAGATCATGAGAGATGAAAGAATCATTTAGAAAAGCAATAGATTCATATTATACCACTCCAATGCTTTAGAATAAGCTGAGACTATTTATATATTGCTTAATTAACAAATAATAACGATATATCATTATTTATATAAATTTATCCTAGAGGAAATATGGCTAATCTCCTCTTTGCTGTACTCATGCTTCTTTGTGCTTTGTTCTTGTAAAATAAGGCATGCAGCTTCCGCATTCTATAACAATCCCATAAATGAGAAGCAGCAGCGCATCAAACACAACCTTGTATTCCTTATAAGACTGATTTGTCAAAAGAATTTAATAGTCAGAAAGCACACACCGGAGAAAGGACTGTCGAAAAATGCAACAAAATCGATACAATTTCTTATAAAAGAAGGAAAACGAATTCACAATTTACAAACAAAAGGAAAAAGTGACGATTTGTTCTTAATTGCAGAGTCAACAATTCCTGTCTCATTGGAAAGTTTTATTTGGCATGAAAATGCATCTCAGTAAAAATCGCTAAGCAGAACAAATCGAAAGTTACCCAAAGCCATCTTACCACTTTATTGAAAACTTTTCTCTTGGTAATTTTTAAGAACAGCACGGAAATTCATTTCAAACAGATACTGGAATCTGGAAACTGCTTCTGTAAAATGAAAAAAAGGATGAAGTCCAACCATATCAATAAATTTAGATGTTAAAAGTTCATTGGAGTTTGACAAAAACGATAGAAAACCAAATTATATTCATCAAAGCTACGTCCGCGTTGAGATTCGTTCATATTGCACGATTCGGTGCTGTAGCCTATTCGAAATCGATATGCGCTTTGCATATAATTACCGACTGGTAGTTCATAGATTCCTTCTACTATCTGGAAAACGGCAGGCATATAAGCGAAATCATAAAAAGTACAAATTCATAATAGAATTCATCCTCTCATATACCAATCGAACAAGTGCTTGTAAGAAAAAATTCAAAATCACAGAAAGATAACAATTAATACAGAAAAAATCTACAAGAAATATACACTTTAAATGAAAAATACCTTTTGAACGACCGGTTGTTTGTCATAAACTGTTCTTATAGCATATTCATCATTACACGGTTTTTGATCAAAATCTCGTAAGCTACCACAATTATCAATATAATTACCACTATCCCCAACACTAAAATTTACAATAGAACAGTTGAAAGCAATTGCAAACACAAATTCACAATACTCTATTTAGAAACAAAAAAACTTAGTCTGTCTATATGTAATAAATCTAAAGAGAATAACAATCACATAGACGCTTTTCAGCTTGAAAAAATTAAATGTCTTCTAGTAGTATAATCTGAGTCAATTCTCATAAAAATTTCGTTTTTGCAGCAAATACTTCGCTGAATACCGCTTTACCCTATTTTGCGCCCTCCAGCCAGCAAGAAAGGAACCTTCTTAATTTATCCAATCATAATCTATAAGCTACATTATTATTCCAAAAAAGTTATGAACAGTACTACCAGCGATCTAATAAAGAATATTAATATAATCAGTGCTCCGATAAGCAAACAAAAGCGCTCGATTTAAAATTTTCAACTATTATTTTAGAACCAAGCAGTGACAGATAAAAAAATAATTTACATATATATAATAATAAAAATTAAAAATAATAAAAAATAGAGTGAAACATACTCAAATTTAATTTCCAAAGGAACAGTTGGCATAGTCGGTGAAATGGGAATATAAAAAGTGTAGAGACCGCGACGTGGTTTACAACTATCACTTGTACAATACCGATTATCGATAGTTACGTTGAAATCTAGTATTTCAATAGTAATATCTGATGCTGATGATGAAAAAACGGTTCTTCTATCGATAGGTGACGCTCGATTTTCCTCATTGTCTTTGATTTTCAATAACGATTGTTGCTGCTGTGATATAGTCAAAACTGTCTGCTGATCCTAAATTGTTATTGTTGCATCCTTTGATAAAAAATTAAAGAAAAGATTCCAATAACTTTTTTTTTAGTTTTAACAAAGAAAAATCTAATAGGAACTTATATGAAAACCCGTGTTAAGCAAATATTTTGATTCTAGTTAAAAGCCTAATTGGTCATGCAATAAAGGTTTACTATCAAATTTCAAAAATAAAAATTCAACACTCCGTAGCGCAAATGGCAGTACACAAGATATGCACCATTTCTACCACCATTTCTCCTACATTTAACTTTCCTTTTCCGGAGAAATGGGAACTTCACATTTTACCGAAACAAAATGTAATGATAAAAGCACGACATATTCAACAAGACAATAAAATTTCGAAATCAGAGGGAAGCAGCTTTAAAAGATTTCTAAATGCCTTCCTAAAATGTAAAATTAACTTAAAAAGAAACCAAGACTTAATACCTTATTGGCGGTGTTATCATTTGGTATGTTATATTCATCATCTTTCATGCAACAAAACATATGACAATACATATGATCACACGAAATGCTTAGTGGTGGAGCATGTGGTTGGATTGGTGGTTTCCAGACATTATCCTTGACTTGGACAATATGACCAATTTTGCCACCTTGTTCTATCATTGGTCCATTAGTAGTAGTACTTTCAAAGATAAATGGATGTTTCTGATACTCAAATGTTCGATTATGCCAGTCCAATACATATAACGTTGACATTGCTAATAAGCTGTAAAGAAAAGAAAATCCATTTCCATATTCCCATATGGTTCTCGGATTTCTGTGATTATTGAATTCGTAACAATGATAGGTTCACAATCGTTCTTTGTTTAATGAATTAATGTTTAAAGAAAGATGTTTTAATACGCTAGCTAAACTGAAATAACTTCAGAAAAAATTAGAACTTCACGAAAAAGTTATCAAAATATTCAAGATTCAAGATGCCATTCAAGATTCAAAACCTAATTCATTTGACTTAATTTACAAAGGCAATATGAAATCGAGATATTACCAGATAGCCATTACTCCAACAAGGACGAAAACCGTCCCCTGCGTTATTTTCGAACTACATAGTGGAGGTTCCGCACGAGGACATGATGGATTTCTGCAGTGCCAATATTTCTCACGGCTTCTGCTCCGCTCCTTATTACCCCTGCAAAGCGGTAATAATGATTATAGCGATTTTTGAAGAAACAAAAATTTGAAATTTCATAAAAGCTTTTGAAATACTCAGAAGCAAACAAGTAACGGTAGAAATAAATGCTATAATTTTTGTCGCCGCAATTTTCCTAGAACTCCCCGAACCTCGCATTTCCTTTCCTCTCTTCCTTTTCTCCCCCCTCCCTAAAAAAATACTCAGAATTCTGACAAGCACTTGCCTAAGGTAACATTTGTCACGTGAAACACAAGATGGCGCAATCGAACCAAGTGATGTATGCGATGACATGAAGCTTGTTTTATCAGAGAATCCAAGATCACTTAGACCACTTGCTAAGCTACCGATATCTTTATTTTTTCGCCGATGTAATCTGGCTAATTTATGAGATAACTTTTCAACAGCTTCAATTTTGTGCTCCAAATTTCCTGTAAGGCGGCAAAGTTCAGTTGCTGCTGCAACCGTTTCGTAGAATATTCGTGAATCATCAACCTGAAATTGAACCAAATTAATGGAAAAAAATCAAATTAATGTATTATGATATATGATATATATTTTTTTATACCAATACGTATTAAATTACATCTTATTTATTTTGTAATTTGATAAATTTACCTTTTTCAACTGCTAAAAATATATCATAATACATTTCACATCATTATTCCACAACTTTTCAGAAAGTCAGCAAAAGAAAAATGAAATAACTGGAAGGTTTTTCAAGTTTCAAGAAATTTATAGCTCTCCAAAAAGTTATGCACCTGCAAGAAATCTCCATTGTCGGTCACAGCATCAGGTAAAATTTCAGCCAACTCCTGCGCAATGACACCGACTCTATGGCGATTTTCTTCTGATAGACCCCATTTTAGCGCTATTTCTGGTTTGTACGAATATCCAACAACACGAATTTGGGCAAGATGAGATAAGGCGCTTTTAGTATCCACCTATGTAAATTTTAAAAGTTTAAGAAGCAGCAAAATTACTCTCAAAAATAATGACAGTAAATATTGCAAGATATACATGTATCCAAGCTGATCATGATAATTTCGACAAAGCAAAAAAGAAAAAAAAGGATCAAATGAACCTCATGAATTTGTTCTTTCATCCGACGATCGGATGGACGATGAACAACTCCAGAGCAATAGATGTCACCACCGACAGTCAAGGGTGCAACAGCTCGATCAGTACCAA